CCCCCCCCCTCCCCCCCCCCCCCCCCCCCCCCTTCCCCCCCTAAGGGCACTTCCCCTCAACGTCTCAATCAACACACCAGCAACGGCCTTCCGCGACCTCGGTCCTTTTTCCCGCGTTAGTCACGGCAGGGCGTGGACTCCCCAGAGTCGGATCAGAGGGTAAAATACCTAACACCTCCGACGTCGATGCGTTATCAGTACGTTATCAATACATCTGCGTGATTACATAATGTTATGCATTACGTCTTTTTATCTTTTTCTTTTTTTCTTTCTTTCACTTTTCCTCCTTTCACAAGGGCAGTGTGATATCCGCAGTCGCCAGAGCAACCTATTTCCCCATCGACTCGATACGGGAATATGATAATAATTTTCCAATCAATCCATTTCATCCGTTTAATCCGAAGGAAAATCCATCCCGACGAAGTTGCGATGGATTTTGGCTGTTAGGAACGGAGACCTCGGTCCCACCCAGGGCCCATGACCTCGTACCCCGAGACGAAACCTCGCCAATTACAGCGGTCGCCTTTGGTCGTAAATACGTGTCGACGGTTACAAGTGGTATAAGAAGGGGGGGGGGGGGAACATTGCCTCTAAAATCCTATTGGAGACACGTCTCAAGTTGCCAAAAAAGGGCAATTCACGTGCCATTCTTCGTGACCATGGATAACTTTGAAATGGAAGGCAAACACAGCCCCAAAAGTGATCAGGCAACATAGTTCCTCCCCGAGCACTCAGTATTACAAAGCACCGCAGAGCATTTCCCCCGCACGCCTACACGAAGGAACACCCCCCCCCTTCCGCCCCCGCAACAGAGCGGCTTCTCTGAATCCTTGCACATCCTCGATGCCGATCGCTCGAGCGATCCCTCGGCATTTCTTGCGAAACGCGTTCGCCCCAGATGCGAACAAAGTTCCTTTTCTTTTCGGCGCGGCCCATTCGTGCTTCGGGCCGGGCCGTGATCGATGGAAACACCGCGAACGGCCAAATTCCTTCTCGCGGCTCCACGATGGATCGTCGGCGGTCGACTCGAAAAGGGCGGTCGACTTCCAAGCACAAGCATAAACAAGCCTTCGGGGCAGACTCTCGGGCCGAAACGAGATACGGCAGTAGACTCACTTTCGAGGTCGGACCGATTCCACTCCGATTCGGAGTCGACTGCACATAAATGCTATCAAATATTTACCGAACCTTGGGGTTGGCCTGAATCGGTTCATAATCAAGTCCAAGGTAAATCATGTTTGACGCTCCCGCTTCAAAACACACGGAGCCGGCTCGACAAAACGGCACCATCACTCAAGCATTAGTATAAATAAATAAATTATTACGAGAATAAAAAATTATAGGTAATTAAAACTAAACAATAAAAAATTAATTTAAAACAAAAAAATTAAAAATGGGATAATTAAGAAATAAAAATAGAAAAAAAATAGAGTAACCGGATTTCCCCCCCACAGGGATGGACGACCCGCTGGTGTGCTACAAGTGTGCCATCCGCCCCCCCACCAGGCAGCGGGGCGAGGTGATCCCCCCTTGCTCCCAGTTCTCCCTCGCCGCCAACTTCTCCGTCCCCTGCCCCTTCTCGTCGGCCTGCTTCAAGAAGACCATCTCCATCCCGCTTCCGAGCGGAGGTGAGGCGGGCATTTGCAAGCATTTTTTTTTTTTGCGGCATGCTGTTGCAGCACCGGTCGCTCTTTCAGCGCAATTTTCGTTTCTCGTACGAACGACCGACATTTTCGAAGGCTCGGCCCTCTTCCAGCACGCATTTAGTCGGCACGAGAAGTCGACCGGCCACGGCACCACGAGATTCCCGTCGACCTTCGTAATTACGACGACGAAAAAAAAAAAGATGGACTCAAGGTGACGAATGCCACAAAACGGCCGACCGACTTAGTACAGTACAGCCCCACTCTAAAATCCAATCCCCCCTTGCAACAGCCCATCACGTCCGCGAGGCGAACCCACAGAGGTAAACATATAAAATTAAAATAAATAAATAAATAAAAGAACGTCGAAAGGACTGCCGGAAAAACTGTGAAAGGAACTGCATCCGACAGAGGAGGTCGACATTAGAAGGTCGTCTGCGTAGTAAGGACGACGACAATAAATTACGCCGATATGTCGCTTCTGGCTCGAACGAGTTTCACCGATTCCTGCCAAGGATGTCTAGGGATGTCATGTCCCTCCCGTCCCTCCCTCCCCTCCCTCCCCCTTCCACTCGCCCTCTCCCGCAGGGCCGAGACGCTCCCATCTCGCTCCCTCCCTCCCGTCTGAAATTGCCTCTGCATAAACCGGGCATCGCTCGCCTTCACTGTTTATGCTCCCGTCTGCCTACCTATTCGACCGCACCCGAGGGAAACCGGTTCAGCAATCCATGCAAGAGGAAATAGACCAGGAAGAGTTGACGTCCAAGCGTCACGAACCCCCCTCTCACATCGTGCTTTGCTTTATCTAAGTTTGCCATCAGCCGTCACTTCTTCCCCGCGTCCCGTTCTCTCTCTTTCTTCGCTCCCGATCGTTTCTTGTCCCGCTATCGAAAGGCTTTCACATCCGTCCCCTTCTGCGGGGCGCGAAACGGGACTCCTCGAATCGGTGCTTCCTCTCCCCCCCACCCCAATTACGATCCAGATTCGCATAATTAGCGGGGAAAGAACGAAGGAAGTTACGGAAACATTTCCCAGCCGGATGGATCCCATGGCAAGCGCCATTTCGACAGCCGTAAAAAACCAGGCCTGTATTTCACTTAAATCCATCCCCAAAGCAGTTTTCCCAGTTCCTCTACTCCCGTGTCTCTTTCACACGAGTCCATTCCGCAGTCTGCAAGCATAAACATTAAAGCATAAAGGCTCTCCCTCGGCATGGGAAGCGGGAAACCCGTTCGAGCCAGAAGCGACATATCGGCGTAATTTATTGTCGTCGTCCTTACTACGCAGACGACCTTCTAATGTCGACCTCCTTCTCTGTCGGATGCAGTTCCTTTCACCGTTTTTCCGGCAGTCCTTTCTCAGATCCCCGCTCTCCCCCACCCATCGACCAATCACGCGAGGCGACCCGACCCGCCATCCATCTGGGTCATCCTCCTCCCCCGCTGAGGGCTCCGAGCCTGCACGGATCCGCTTCCCGGTTTTCACGGTCCGCGTCCGAAACCCATGAAACCGTTCCGAGGTTTCTTCTTAATGCGGCCTCCAGATACGGGGGGGAAGGCCGATCGACCGGTCCCGTAAATCAAATCTCTTTCTCAACTATAACGCGGACGCTATGTCGTTCAAGGGCGCATTACGGCACCTATGATTTATCTTATTAATATCGTATAACTATTATTATTGACATCGACTGATAACTCTTTATCATTCCTCGGTTTGTACAGACGAGAGAACCCGTGACGTCGTTCCTGTCACGACTGCCCTATTACTGGGCTGCACTTTCACAAATTTATCGATACATTTTCTAGGCACGTAGAAATTCCAGCGATCCGATAATAGATTATCTGCACGGGAGAGCCGTCCTCGACGCGCGATGCCTCCGCCATCTATGCTATGCTCAATGAACTAGCGTTTCTACAAACCGCTCCAAGTCCTCAGGACGACACGGAATTACATCGACGCAATTCCGTGTCGTCGTTCTTTGCATACGCATTTCCCTGTCTTCATTTCAATTTTTTTGCTGTCGACGTGGCTGCTTGCCGTCGTACTTCCATTTTTAAGTGCTTTTGTGACGCTGCGATAATTTCGCGTCGGCAACTTGCTCCATCGGCGTGGTTCCAAGTCGGCCCCGACAGTCGTTAATTCCGCGTCGAAATAAACCCCATCTCCGTCATTCTGCGACACCGACAGAAACAACCACTCTTCCCTTCTCATCACGCAACACAACCATCGATGAGCACACAACGAAACCAGTTAATTTCCCGGCCCTGTTCTTCCCCTCCCGCAGACGCCCTGTCGACCGTGATCCGCGACTGCGCCCCGGTGGCCCGGAAGGCCCGCGTGAACCGCCGGGGCGAGGCCCCCATCTTCCCCTTCGTCCTCCCGACCGAGATCCCCGGCGCCTCCATCCAGGACGAGTGCATCCTCGAGACCGACTCCTCCGGCACCACCTTCACCGAGTACTGCTTCTGCCCCACCTCCTTCTGCAACCCCTCCCCCTCCGCCCCCACCCCCCACGCCCCCATCCTGGTGCTCCTCCTCTGCGGGACCCTGCTCACCTGAGACGCGTGCTCGGCGAGGAACACCCCGACGACGTCCCCCCGCTTCAGCCTGATGGCGGCGTGCAGGACCGACTCGGATCCTCTCTCGTTCAGGAGCTCGTACAGGTTCCGATCCGAAAGGACGGCGAAATCGTCTGCTGCAAATTCATCCTACGAAGAAGACAGTGATATGGTGAAAGAGACACGAGAAAAAAATATTAATATTTATTTATTTATTTACAGAATTAAAAGCTCATGTCAACCCACGCGGTTGTTCCGCATTCAATCGCCCTGAAATTTTCTTCAGAATCTCTTTGGTGCTTTTTTTCATTAAAATGAGGATGCAAAATCCTACATATGCCGATAATTGCACAATATAATAATATAAGAGGGGCTATTGAGAAGTTCCCAAACATTTCCCCTTGCCGTCAGTTTCTCCCGCAGCCGGCCCAACTTCATGACGGAGTAGGCTGGCTTGCTGTGGCTGCCCAGAAAAATTTTGCAAGTTTTTTTAGAGCATATTTCGCTTATTTTAATCTCCACGCCTTTCAAGGATGACCAGCAACATGAGAGACCCTCAATAGCTCTCTTGGATGATCCTACCAACTGGAAAATTTGATAGGATTGGAATTTGGTGAAGCACGTCTCAGAAAGAGAGTTTATGGCTTCTCAGTATAAAAAAAAAATGCCCTTTACCCTTCTTCATGAAAAACTCAATCACTGCACACACAAAAAAATTGAATTAAAAAAAAGCCATGAAAATGATGAGAAAAGAGCTCCACACCCAAAAAAAGCCATATATTATTCCCACTATCAAGCCATCTCATCCATAAATTGGGTTAGTTCCAACAGGAAAAAAATTCCAGGAACTTCTCCATTGCCACTCGGACATGACTGAAAAATTTCTGAACACTTTTAAAGATTTGTTCAGGGCAATGCCACAGGAAAACCATTCACTGCATCTTTCCGTAATGCAAACTCACCCAATGAGAGAGGATGAGCTTCTGGGCAGCTGCTTTCAGAGATGCACACCCCAATTCTCCTGCCTTCTCAAATATTGAAAGGCAATTTTCCCTGCTGACTTCATCCACTACCTGTTCTTCACACCTGTGAGAAAGAAAACATGAATGCAACAATCAAGCAGGAGACACTGACTTACTTTTAACAGGCTAGCAAAAAAACACAATGAAACCAAACAGAGGAAAGCAATTGTAGCTTTTACTTCAACCATTTCTTCTGAAAAAGTATAGCATGATAGACTCGTTCAAGATTCTCCAGAGGGAACTTAGAATTCCAGTAGATTCCAAGGTGTCATTGGGAAGGGTGCAGTCCATGGGTTGAAGCTAATCCATAATTATTAGAGGGTAAATGGAATATCTCACAAGTTCTTCAGGGGTAGAAGTTGGAAACTATTGGCAGCTGCCAAAACGTCAAGAAGGAACTTGTATTTCTGGTCTTCATCACCACCGCAGTTGAGGTCACCGGTGTACATCCACTCCACAACTGCCGATCCAACGCCCTGTCGCAGCCATTTCCAGTCTGAAAGATGAGACAAAAGAACCATTTGCATGAGCAGTTTCTTGGGGGACTAGCTCATTGGTGGGCATGCCTGAAGCCTATTTTGAACAGCAAAAAATCAGAAAATGACTCATTATAGAAAGCTTGCCACTACCAAACTTGACAAAAAAAAATGGAGGGGGAAGAATGAAAAGAATATCAGGTTCAGAAAGCAATACCCTTATCTTCATTCCACCCCTGGGTGTTGTAAGTATACTTAGGAGCAGACAAATCTTTTAATAATGAGTTAATTGAAAGGGTTTCGCAAGTGCATTCTCTTTCATTTGCAAGCAGGAGACAAACATGGATCTCTCACAATTGCTCCTTCCACCAGACAAAAGTAAGTTTTAGAAAGTGCTGATTGGTTCCATGAAACCAGCAACAATGTGTTTTTTCCCATATTCCTCAGTTTACTTAAAATGCACCCCTGACATTCATGTCCTCCTGGACAATGGTCTCATGCATTCAGATATTGATTAATGGGAATTTTTTTTCCCCTGGCCCCAATATTGTTCCTATGTAAACTCACTTATCATGCAGCCTTCCATTGTTCCCACAATCAATACCCTTCATCACACATACATCTGACTCATGCTATCAAAGTACAATGGTTACAAAATCGAATCCTTGCCCAATGCTTCCATAAATTCAGAAGCAACCTGACACATGGAAATGTGGATGAAGCCTTCTCCCTGCTACTTTGAGAGTCATGTCACTGCCTCTTAGGGACCTGTCTTACTTTAGTCAGAACTTCAGATTTTATCAACTAGCCCAAAATAAATTTACATCTGTATTTTCTTCACCTTGAATCACCTTAAATTCATCTATACTTGATTCACTGCAAAGTCTGTGATTGTGTTTTGTGTCTAAATTTACGAGTCTGCCCTTGAGGATAGCTTCTCCTCACTCTGACCTTTTGAAATGTATTGGAATAAGCAGAGAGCAGCACTACCTGAGATTTAAAATCTACAAAATAAGGAAGTTATCAACTCAGTGGCAGGTTTCAGCCAGTATGAAACTACCTTCAACTAGTGGTCCCATGGAAATAGATGTTTTGGTAAATAAAAGAAATCACTGTACAGTACAATCATTACCAATTTCCATGACATGATGAACATCATTGTGATGGTTCAGGCCTTCACAGGGGCCACAAAGCCACCAATGCTTTATTTCTGCTTGCCATCACCCCAGCGCAAATCAGGATCGATATAACGACGGTAGCTCACCGAAGCTTTCAGTCGTTTCCCAGGAAGGATTGTGAGCAGACAGGACCAGCCTGTGGGCAGGGACAGCTCCCTCAGCCAGCTGGATTTCCACATCACTGCAAGATGAAACAGATGCATTGGGTGAGCTTAGGACAATGTTCACTGCAGACATAAAGTTGGCAATAACAAGGAGATTATAAATCCAGAGCTTCTGAAATCTGACACAACAAACAGGTGACATAACTGCCTCACTTGAGTGGATCCAACCAACCCAAAAAAGCAGGGGAATATGGAAGGCCTAAACCCTCAGGGTTTGGGCAATCCAAGGCCACCCAACAAAAAGTTCACAAAAAATTTGCTTCTGGGTTTCAGCATTGGAATAGCATCTGCATCAACCCTAATATAAGGTACATTTTTCAAAATAATTTGGAGTATCCAGAGGTGAAAGGCAACAAAAGAAATGAATGAGCAAAGCAGAAACACCAATTTTTTCCTTTCGTGAAAAGACGATAAGTCATCAGAGGCAAGCCCTGTAAGGTCCTTGCTTGCACAGCAGAGACTATGTCACCCTCAAGAGGATCTGGTACTTGAGTAACACAGCAGAATGTAAAAAGAAACAAGCAGATGATACAAGGATTTACATTGATTACCTGTAGATGAAAAAAAAAAGGGAGGCTTGGAGAGGAAAGGGGTGAAGAATGGTGATGGTGGCAGGATTTGCCCTCGTTGTTAAGGTGTGGGAGGAGATAACTTTTTGACACATTTGCTTCATCAGTCCATATGACCTTGTCAGTGGTATTTCACACTAGCTCTAAAGAATTAACAGGAAAATACATTCCAGTAGACATTGTGTGAAAGTTTTGATCGGTACCTAACTAAAGGACGAGCTACATCTGATAGAATCCTTTCCACGAGCCACTTACTCACATCAGCCCTTTAATTTTACTAGGTCCACCTTAATTGCGTCAAAATGAATACTAATAATTTTCCAGCTATCAATAAAATGATCACCTCTCATCGGAAACCCAAAAAAAAATAAATTTGAAAACGTGAAGGCCTATTCTTACCTGAGGCGGGCACTCAAGTGCAGATCTCGGATCAAGCGCAGAAGCCGCTTAGAAAACGTCCCATTTCCGTCTGAGCATTCGTCTGCCTTGAAACCGGAGGAATCCATGTTATCGAGGAGGAAGATTTGGAGTCGGGACAGGGTTTATTTAATCACGGCAAAGCAAATCAAGTTGTACTGAAAAGGAAAGACGTTTTAGATGTGCCCCGACCCTCTCCTGGGGAAGGCGGACTCATGGTCCGTATGAAAGGTGGGAGTTCACGTGCGGCTGCACGCTTCCATGTACCGCGTGACGTCACGGTGGTGAAAGGAGGAAAACGGGTTAGCGCAAAACTTGTTCCAATATTGCCATCTAAGCTGGTAAAATTTCTTAAATATTTATTAGGAAATATTTTGTATCATTCTAAAGAAATTTGAGGCTGTATAATAGGGAAAAATGGGATTAAATAATTTTTTAATCCGAAACAGGTGATTTGCAATCTGGCATCCGTGACTATCGTGCCACTTCCACGAGGTGCCGTCGTCCGCTGCCGACATCCTTGCCAGCCCTGCTGTTTTTTCCGTCCTGGAGTACCTGACCGGTGAGTTGATGTATCTTTAAAATATAGCCGATCAGCCTGTAGACGAATGCAGAATATGTGAATATGAATTTTCGTTTTTGAATTTCCACTTCGTACATACTCTTTCCAATAATAGGCATATGCCGTTTTGAAGGAAATGAGTGTATTTCTCATCTAGGTATGAGGAAGAAATGGTGTTCTACTTCACGAGTAATGTTGTTTCACCTCCAGCAACTCTCTTCATGGGAAGAGATAAACACGAGAATGAAGATTTGATCAAGTAGGTCAAGGATGCAGCTAAGTCCAAGCTATTCACCTTATCCAGACTGGTTTTTTCAAGTGGAACTGAATATTTTCAGGTGGGGCTGGCCAGAAGATGTTTGGTTTCATGTGGACAAGATGTCCTCAGCACACGTGTACCTAAGGCTACAGAAAGGACAGACTCTGGACGATATTCCACAGACGTTGCTCGAAGATGCCGGACAACTGGTGAAAGCCAACAGTATCTCAGGGAACAAGGTGAACAACGTGGAAATTGTGTACTGTTTTTGGGGAAACCTCAAGAAGACGGCAGCCATGGACGTGGGGCAGGTCTCGTTCCACAAGGACAAGGAAGTGCGAAAGTTCCAGGTGGACCGGCGATCCAACGAGATCGTCAACCGGCTCAACAAGACCAAGACGGAGCGGAACCCGGACCTCAGGGCAGAGAGGGAAGATCGGGACCGGGAGGAACGGGAGGAGGAGAAGTCTCGGAAAAGGCAGGAGAAACTGCGTGAGAAGGAGGAAGAGAAGAAGCGCGAAGAGGAGGCAAAAGAGAGAAGTTACACGACTCTCATGACTGAGCAAAACATGAAATCTAACAAGGAGGAGGATTATGATTCGGATGACTTCATGTAATTTATCTGTTGCTTGCAGATTCTCAGCAATGATCTTTTCTGAGCTTATCTCCACTTTTTTTATATTCATAAAGAAGTTTATTCATGCATGCAAAATGGTCCTCCTGCTCAGAATGTTAGCTCACAGGACGAGGAGAAGAAATTAAATTTAAAAAAGACATCTGAGCTATTGAAAGTGAAATTTTCATGGCATGTCTCTCTGTCCAAATCTCAACTCTGGTGTAGAACCACTGGCATTTTATGAAACAACCACTTCCAGATTTATCTGAAATCAAAAGTTAAAAAAAAAATTTTGTGGCATTCAGTGATACAAAATTCAAATTATTTTGTATCCTGTTACCATATCCCTTTTTGAGAGCAATAAAAAAAGTTGGTGAAATGGATGAATGGATGGATGGATGGTCGAAAATCTTTGAGAGAAAGGTACTAGAAAATGGTCCCCACCGATCTAATGTGAGGCTTACTTTCAAGCCTCATTTTTATACACTAATCTTACAAATTGGCAGATTTCTTCTACTCATGGGTCAATAACTATGGGTTCAGGTTCCATGCATGCTGAATATCGAAAAAGTCAAGCATCAAAGTGCCATCAAATTCTTGTCAAAAGATGGCAATAATGGAATGCAAATTCATTAACGCATGGTGACCATACATGGACCAAGCACTCCAAGTTACCCGACAGTTGTGAGATGTTTTGGCAAGTCAAAGAATGAGGCAATCAAAGTTGCAGTCAATCGTAAACCAATTTCTTCCATCAAGATGATAGGCAATCGGTGATATGGCCCCCCCATATCACCGTTGGAGATCGAGAAGGCCTGAATTTCTGACAAGTGTATTAAAAATTATTCATTAAAATTTAGGCATGTCCAAAGTGTCTGCTTGAGACTTTCTGGGATTCAAAGGGGCTTTTACTGATTGACTACATGCCTCAAAACTGCTATTTCTCACCAGTATTATGTCAAATTGAAGCAAGCCATTGGGAGTAAAAGGCAAGGAATGTTGGCATGCAGTATTTTGCTTTCGCATGACATGCTCCAGTTTGCAAAGCCCGCATTGCTTGGGGTGCAATTCAAGTCTGTATATTTGAATAGCTGAACCCCCCCCGATGACCCAGACCTGGCTTCAAGTGGCTGTTATCAGTTCTGACACCTCTGTGGCACCCGACTTACAGACGTTGAAATGATCTGCTGTGGAGACATGATTTGGATTAAACTTGGGGATGCAGATCATCAACTAGCACGTTCAGGAGCTTGATTACCCTGTATGGTGCCTCTGGTGAAAGCATCATGTTTGTGCCCCCCTCCTCCTGCTCTGAGTTGCACTTTTCGTGTGCCATGAACAAGCTTCCTGAAGTCTTGACTTTTTCAAAGCCCATGGGCTTTGCAATAGTCTTCAGACAAGCTTACTATGCAGGGCAGGGATGAGCAATGGTAGCAGGACGAAGCAATGGGTGGCAGAGACATTGCCATGTTTTCTCATTTTAACAAACCAACCTACTTCATCCCTTTTCCCTTTCAAGGAAACTTTTCCCCCCATTTTTTCTCCCCATTCTTGGTTTGCACTGCTGGACTAGTTCTCATGGGTGCACTACCCCTTGCCCACCCACATTCACAAGGCTGGGGCACATCACTATAAGCATAGGGGAATTTAAAAGCAGGCATTCATCCTTCACAAGATGTGAAACCCTAACTCAGCTCTTTGATGTTCCTAGAACTTCTGGGTGGACAAAATTGTCCTCTGCTCAATCTATTTGCATTTCCCCTCCTGTGTCTAACTTCTTACATTATTTATGAAACAATCTTCATATGCATGCACCATGCAAATGAAGATGTCATGCACCACTTCCCTTGCTTCTTTCGGTCTACCTGGTATACTCTGCTACGCTGAGAGAAGTGATTCTATGGGGAAGAATCACCTCTCAACCTTTTCCTACTTATTCACTATTGAAGAGTTCTCTGGAAAAAGGGCTTAGATGCTAAAGGTACAATTTAAGAAAAACAGCAAGTCTCAGAGCTCATATGTGACCAGTCTTAATCCAGTTTTCAGTGATATAGTGTCCTCAGTGGGTCCTTATTTAAATTATGGGCTAAGACTGAATTTCCTCTTTCAAGTCGGTAGAATGCAGGCAGAAACTGTTTTTGTACGTACACCCTTTTCCCAGATCAATACTATCAGGAATTTCTCATTCATTCTTTCAACTGCCTTTTTCCATTAAGATAATTACTTATCTCTGAAGTAACCTCTAGATTTAAAAAAATAAAACCTTCCTCAAAGAAAGCACAAGGGAAATTCAGTTGGAGCATCAGAAATTTTCATTACAATTCCAGACTTCTCTACATAAGCACCATCACTTTTCTGATTTCTTTTCCTTAAGGCGTTTTTCCATTGGCTTGCATGGCTATTCCTTCTTCCCAATTAATCCCCATGAGTGGCAATAATAAGGCAGTTGGACAATTGCTTGCCATCAAGCCATCGAACTGGAATGTGGAGAAAATTGCTTCTTCTTTGCTACAAAAACTATCTCAACATCATTTAGTCATATTGCAAGTGGCCAAATTCAGTGTGTGAACAAGGATATGGAAAAAAGGGCATATGAGCAGTCATGTCCTTTTTCCAGAGAACTCCTTAACCATCCTGAGGAAACAGAGTTTTAACATGGATCAGGATTTCCATCCAACATGTCTATTATTTTGCAATTTTCACAATTGGGAGGCAACATAGCAACACCGAAACAGCATTTCTGCCTGTCATCGAGACCTGAATTTCCATGAGTCAGTAGAGGACAGTTACTGCCGCATTCCTTCTCTTTGTGATGAGAGAAAGAATGCTAACAGATCACGGTTCATTGAACCAATTTCATGCTCCATGGAGCACCCATTGATGACTGACTCATCACTGACAATGCTAATTGGCCATGTCAAGAAAAAAAGCCCACAGGATTCCTACTCCTGGAATAACATCATCCAGCTGAGGTTCCTGTTGAATCCTAAGAACCCCAAATTCCCCCCCCCTCCCAAGAAAAAAAAAGAAAAAACCTGGAAGGTAAAACTCCTCAAATGGGATTTCATGAGCAACTTCTTGCATAAGAGCAGGATCATATCTCCGTTGCTCAGCTACTTGCAGGTCATTGCCCCTGGCTATCCTTCCTGCCATATTGTTCTACTTGGCTCGTAGATAAGACAATAGACAGTGATCCATGGAATGAGAAAAATATTTGGTTTTGGGGAAGTCACTTGACAAGCATATCACTCCCCTTGCATGAAGGAAATTAGGCCTTGAAGCACTCTATGTTGCAGTTGAAGGTTTTGAATAATTGGTCTCAAATTATTTTTAAAACTCAGAAAGCTGCATCCACTACTTCCAAAACATTTTGCCTCCACAAGTTTGAGTAAATTGTCTCAACCCAATCAAGGGGCTTCAGGAGTGTAATGACCTCTTGGAATGTAAATCTTTCAGTTTATCCTCCACATTCTGCCCTTAAAGCCACTTCATGCATCTTCATTTTGCTGTGCAATTCCAAATACGTCATGCATTTAAAATAACCCACTTTGAGTAATTTGAACAGATCTCACTAACAACTTTCACACAATAGATACGCTTCTATAAAACTTGTTTTTCAATGTGTTTCCATAGTGGAGGTAGGTGGGTGGATTCAATGCCAGTTCATTGACCTGGCATTCAATCCACCCACTTCTCATGAGCCTCAGGCAGCTGAGAGCTTCCCAATGGTGGTCAAAATTACTGTGCTCTTATTCTAGGCAATTTCATCCCTTTTTTGTCCTTTACAATTTGCAGTGCTTGGACTGCTATTCCTCAATGCCATATTTAGTGTAAAAGTCTTTAAAAAAAAAAAAAAAAAATCCCACATTGAGAAGGGCTTGATTTGGAAGTCATGACCATAATCAGCCCAAATTTCTGGACCATCAGTTCCAATTTTAAGGTCAAATTTGTCATCTCAGGTGCAGCCTTCCTTCATCTAGACATTATTTACTAAAATACACCCATTCCTGTGACTTGAGTAATCCTCACCTGCACATGCATTTCATGTGCACATATATTGTATATATCCCTCTTCTGCCCTGTTGGGGGAAACCATTATACTTTCAACAAGGGTTAATCATGATGTTCAAGGAAAATCCTAATTGAAAGCAATCTCACTAAGGAAGGTTATTCAGCCGAACATGCACGGTCATCCAAAATATAACCCATGGACATGTTCCTTTTCAATGCCATACTTTTATCCCAAGACATATGAATGGATCTGGGAGGAAGGAAAGGAAACAAACTCATCTGGAGGTCACTTTGTACCAAATCTGGCTTGTTATCACAAAAGAACACAGTTTGGACCAGACAAGGAGTGAAACATGAGAAAGAAAAGAAACAACAAAACACAATCATGCTCTCATCCTCAATCCCTGCAATGACTAGGAAATGTTCTGGATATATATGATAATCATCACAAGCACACACATCTCAGAAAAAACATACCAATTGTCACATCTATACAATAAGATTCCACATCATTTGAAACAGTCTGACAGGAGGAATGAAAGACTAATTGCTGCACTGGATAACACAAGAACGGGGGGGTTCAGGAGGAGTCGTAAGCATGTACGTGTCCCTGGTGCTCCAACACGGTCAACCTCTTCTCCACTGCAGCTTTATCTATGGGCAACAATAACTGTGCTGCACTGTTTGAATGGACAGTAAAATAAGTCACAAAGCAGAAGACTCACAGTTCATGAGGAGGCTCTTATCCCGTGGATGAGGAAGTGTCTGTGCTAGATAATGTAAAAGGATTTGGGCCACTTGATAGCGCCTTCCAATTGATGCCACAGCTCCTGTCTCCATCAGTTCATCCAATGCTGCTCCCTGACACTGGAGTGGAGAGAAACCTATAAATAACAATTCTCAAGGGAATTTCCCCAGCAGAAAAACAAGAAAACACACCAGTTCTATTGCATGATCATAGAGGAGCCTGTCAGCTGAGATCCTGCTGAGGCAGTCATGAAGATCAGACCGACTCAGACTTCCTTCACAGGCCTTGTACACACCCTGTACATTTTCCACGCTTTCATGGAACCGTGTGTTCAGGTCATGCACCACTGCAGAAAAGATTAATTCATAAATTCATTTCAAGAATCATCTGTCATGCTCAGTGGAGTAACATTTTATTACAAGATGAACTCACCTTGACGCACAGCAGGAGACCTCTGCAGTCTAGCCCTCCCCAATTCTTCTCTGGCAAGGTGCAGGGCAGCAGCCAACAGATGACATGCTTTCAGGTACAGTGCCAACTGTTCACCCTTTGTCGTGAGAAACTCCTTTTCTCGCTCCATAGCAGTTGATGATCCTGTCGACATCATCTGGCTCAGGTGACGAGATCCACTCAGTTCGAGGATGGCGTCACTCAGGGCCAAGACCAGTTGAAGACGGGCCAGCGTCTCGTTGTGCTCTCTCTGTTGACGAAGACTCCCAATCAAGAAATTGAGAAACCTCCAAAAATCTAGAACTTGGGACAAAACCACAAACCTCCATTATGGTGTCTTCAGTCAGGGCAGGAGCCACAAATGCAATGGGGCCCTCGATGGCACCAGCAGGAGGAGGAGAAGGTGATCCAGATGCAACCAAAGTGGACAGGGATGGCCGTCGAACAAGAGCACCTCGCTCCACCTCTGGAATCGTGCACGAGATAGATGAGCTATTGCCTTTTCCTTTGGACCAAAAAAAAATTAGTTACGGGAGGCACCAGTATCATTACCTCTAAACAGTGGTCCATCCATGGTTTGGGAGCGCCTCAGTTCCTCGTGAAAATGGAGGGTGCCTCTCGAGAGCATGGGATCCATTTGCAGAGGCATGGGGATCTTGGCTGGTTGGTCACCTAAAGCTGCACCCAATAGGTATGGGCAACTGCCTCCAACCCCATATGCACCTACAGGTAAAATTTAACCATTTCCCATCACTCTCATAATAAAGAACTTCAATTTAGCAGAGCATTGAGTCATCGCATTCACATCATGCTACCACTACTGCAGATAGAGTGAAAAATCTACCACCATCCCGTTACTCTTATCGCCTCCACCTTATCTCGAGTCCTTCACCCAACAGGACATTCATTATCATTGCTCTGTGATTAACATGATGCATTTAAACATGCATATCTGTAAAAGGACCTCTTCACTTGCGATAAAGAGCTCATCAGAAGAAAGTGCTAAACTCACCAGAAGACTTGCGAAGAATTGGAGCAGGGACATTGGAAGGGGAGACCGAAGGGGGGGTGGAGGAAGCCGAGGGCCTTCTTCGCCTGTATGCCCCTCCCGGAGGAGGACTCGTGCTCAGTGTGAACTGAAGCGAAGGTGGAGACAGCGATGCGATGTCTCCACTTCCCACTCGCCTCATTGCAATCGGAGACGTGGCACCAGCCTGTCGCCTTGTCCCCTGTGAAACAGCAATCAGGTCTGCTGAAGCCAGATATACACTAAAGGAAACCCAGGAGGACAGGAAAAAAAAAACTCCCAATTACAGGTATGTGCTAAAACCTCTGAGAATGGTTAATAACATCTGAGCATAGACTTTAGCTTGGAAAGAAGGAAAAATTAAACCAAATCCCCCTCTTTCACTTACACAAGGAGACATTTGTGGACTGGGAACACTGAAGCTTCTTCCTCGTCCACCAGAGCGACGGGGACTGCTATCCACGTCAGCATATCCGTCCTGATCAAAGAGATGATCCAGCATCAGCACGTGTTACTTCACTTCAATGTATGAAGCACAATATATGACAAACGATGCAGTTCGCAGGCCCCCAACTCAAGAAAGTATGAAAAGACTCACTTGAGATGAATCCCTCATGGAGGGTACAGGAATGGGTTCCTGATTGATAGAACCCCCAGGAGAAGATGATTGAGACTGACTCCCTCCACGACCTTTGCTCTTACTCCACCTGATTGATTGATGACATAAGAGTACCCTTTAAAGCCTGCTCCTTGCTTTCGCAATACAAATCTCTTCACACTTGATGGAGCACGGACCTGATACGGGAACCAGGAGACGGGCAGTCCATCCTCTGCTCGGTGAGATTATAATCAACAAGAACGAAATCTTCAGCCTCCTCAGGACTTCCCCTGGACCCTGCAGATACAGATTCCCAATATGAGCCCATGGAAATGCAAATGCAGAAATGAAGAAACCGAACAACCAAAAGAACTGCAAGATCTTACCTGATGAAGGCTGCTCATATGATTCCTGTTCTGAAATGACAGCTAGAGGAGGTGATGCCCCTGAAATATCACATTCACAAAATTACAAATTATTCATAAAGTACTGACACACAAGAGACACAATTCAAATGTAAAAGGACCAGCACCTGTGGGCGGAGAAGGAGAAGCTGGGAAGGTGACGAGAGGTCTGGAAGGGGAGAGAGACGGAGAGCGCGAAGGGACTGGGATGGGAGTGGGCTGAGATGGCGACAGGCGGAGGAAAGGATGAGCCATCAGACCGGGAACGTCCAGCCGTTCCTCAGGATTCCGCTTCAGGAGCCTTTTTAGTAGATCCCCCAGGGCTTGAGATGTCCCACTGGGGATCCTGGAAAACCAAATATTAGCACATGGAGAAGAGACCACACGAATTAAGGCCCGTCCCAAACAGTCGTCGTTTCCTACTTTGGAGAAAGATTGGGATTCTTCTCGTAGAAAGAACGGAGAGCCTGGGGGGAAGGGGCCGTGAATGGAGCTTTTCCAACCAGACACTGGAATGTAATAGTCCCCAGGCTCCAGAGATCTGCTCGACTGTCGTACCCCTGCGACATGATCACCTCCGGGGCCTATCCGACCCAAGAGATTGCAGTCATTTCGAGAGAAAATCCAAAAAGCCAGAGGTCACCATAGAACCAAGGTCCTACCATGTACATGGGAGAACCACAGAGAGTGGCAGCCATCACCCCATCTTGGAGGAACCGGGCAAACCCAAAGTCAGCTGATGGAAAAACAGGAGGAAAAAAATCCAGATAATGATAGGATGGAAATGATACAAGCAACAAACAAAGGTTAAGTGCAAATGACTCATACCAATCTTGAGAGTGATTTCATGTGGCTTGGGATGAGATTTCTTTCCTCCCCGGTGACTCAACAGAATGTTCTGGGGCTTCAAATCACGATGAACTATTCCTTTGGCATTCAAGGCTTTCATTGCATTACCTAGTTGCAAAGCAAGAGGGAAAACCTGCCACATCATGGCCTTGGAACAAGAAAAACAATGCTTCCTGGAACATATGCTCACCAAGTTGGCGAAGAAAGAGACAAATTGTGTCCTCGCTAAGAGTTCCTTTGACTGCAAGCAAAAAAGAAAAAAAAATTAAATAATTCATGACAGAGTACCTCACAGTATCTCATCACCGACTCTTGAAACACGTGCGCTTACTTTGAAGATAATCAGCCAGATCTCCACCGTTGCAGTACTCCATAACCAGATGCACATGATTCCCAGTCTCCTGCAGATGAAAGAGGGCAACCCCATTACTCACTGGCATCTTTATAGTACAGCCACAGGCTCAATCAACAACACAGAGAGAGACTTCAAAGGCAAGTGCTAGAATGCCAGCTGGCTAAAATAACAAGAGACAGTCGCTGGCATGAGGCAAGGACCCCACGGCCCCCGGAGCACCAGGTGCGGATAAAGCCGATGGTGATCCCAACGGATAAATATCCCGCCCGACCAAGAAAGCCATGTGCATTGGATCACATGTTGAGTACTTCGTGGGGTCGTTGCTGGAGCCATTCCTTTATCACGTGCTCGTCGCATGGACATGTGGAAATCCCCTGACAGCATACAAACATGTACCAACAAGCTCCTGCACGCTATGGATTTTTTTCCGCCCTCTGACCAACTATAACATACCGAGTCACTCACTCCCTTCCCCTATCGGCCCAGGTTAATTTCATCGATACTTCCAATGAGTCACAGAACCGTGACGACCTGACGTCACGCGAACCGAGGTGTCACCCGATCTTCCCCAAGCGGAAGAGGGAACGAAAGCGGGCCGCCCGACCGTGAATCGATAATCCATTGTATCCCTCGAGAGCCTCCATACCTCCCGGGACGAAGAATAGACGAAGGTCAAGAGGGATCCGAAAGGAAAGGCCTCGCTATATTGGCTCGGATTGCCTGCCTCCGCGCTAGACAAAGCGACGCCCGGAGCCTCTCGGTACAGCTCCGGCCTGGCTTGGCAACAACGCCACGTGCTCCTTACCCCCCCTGGCACGGATGTCATATGTCCCGCACGTGTACACCGTAACACCCGATCGACTGCGGTCGTCATTCACCGCAACCGGAATCTATATTTCCCTACCACCTGGCCCTCCACCCTTTTTACATATTCCACGCATCTTCCGACGCTGAAAGCATGCCAAGTCCCCTTAATATTGATTACCTCGTCCTTCGTGCGAGAGGGTGTATCTCGTTACGGGGATGAATTTCCTCTCGTTAGAGAAACACATTTTCTCCATGAGAAAAATTGGAGTACTTTCCGCCTTATTAAGGAAACACGTGCCAGTTTCTCTGGTTCTGAAGGTCTTCTTGAACCCATAAAAATTTATCATACNGTAAGACTGTACTGTCCTAGTCCTTGTAGTAAAAGGAATACTACGAGTAATGAGCTAATACTTAAAGTAATTAAGCTGATTGATACTGATCTAATGTGAAGTTGGAGGTAGCTATCAGAAAACTTATGAATACTGCTACAAAGTAGCCAGGTAACAACTAACTCACGACTTAGCTGACAGAACCTCGAGAGTATCCTCCAACACGTCCTCACGCTACGAACGCTCGACCAAAACAGGAGACAGGACCAAGACTGGAGATCAATCTCCCCCCTCTTCTTCTCATCCTTCCCATTTATGTCAATAGTTTACTTGATAATGTTTGGGTCGCCTCTCGTCACTTACAAATGGTCTCCCCACCCTGTCGCACACATTGGCTTTCTTCACCGGTTCCGCTAGATCATTTCTTTTCCCACCAAAACAAAGGGAACGACGTGATACACCGACTTTTCAAGGGGCCCAAGGACGAGAAGCGATCCCCCCCCTCCCCGACAATATCTGCCTCTATAAAAGAACCATTGCGAGCCTTGTGATCGGAGACAAAAGTGCTTATCACCGCATGTCGGATGGGAAAAGCCCCATTAAAACAGGTATCACGTGCATTCATGGCGCAGGGGGCCCATTCAACGCATTTTCAGGGGTCAAACTTTTCCTTTCCCATCCCTTTTGTTGTCATTCCCCCGCCCCGGCCCCCCCCCCCCCCCCCCCCCCTCGAGAATCCGCTGCATCACTGCGCGCGATTTAAAGAGCCCTCCAGGCGCCCCGATCCGACAGCCCTGCACCTCCGAGTACCCCCTCACCCCAGATCCGTGATCACGCTCGTTTCACGAGCTCGAGGGGAACCTGTCCCACGGTGCCGGAATTATGCGAAGTAGGGCCGACTTAATAAACAAACAGGAGGGAAAATGTCAACCTCCCCCCCCTCCCCTCTACGAACTGGACCGTCAGGTTATCTGAAACCAAGGAAATTCCTCACCTTACAATCCAGCAGAGACACGATGTTCTCGTGATGGACGTCGCGAAGCTCCTGCAAATAAGGAAACCGCATCTTGAGAACTCCGTTTCGAAAGGAGGCCGAAGAAAGCAAAAAAAAAAATGCTGAGCATTGGGAAATGCGTCTGAGCACATACTCTGAGAATAGAGATCTCCTTGCTGAGAAGACTCTGGCTCTTCCCCAAGTTCTTCTTCGTAATGCTCTTGACGGCCACCTCATCCTGCTTCCTCTGCAAAAAACGAAACCGCCGAGAAACGCATCACGACACTGCACACGCGTCATCGCCAAGCGGTTCATCGCCCCGGCCCTCGCGACGAGGTCGAGCCCATGACCCCGCCCTGCCCCGCCCCGCACGCGATCGCATTTCGCAAACGCTGCAGTTCACGCGAGCACGGTCATTAACCTGGATCCAGACAATTCTCACCCTCGAAAAGGGTGAGAACTATCTGGATCTATAATAGTTAATTTTAATTTAAGCCTGAACAGAATAAATGTGATTATGGTTCGCCTTCACCAGGAAATCGCGGCGCTTCTGCTCATTTCATTCCTCTCGTTAGAGAAACACATTTTCTCCATGAGAAAAATTGGAGTACTTTCCGCCTTATTAAGGAAACACGTGCCAGTTTCTCTGGTTCTGAAGGTCTTCTTGAACCCATAAAAATTTATCATACAGGATGCAAATTACGCGCACTCCCAACGCAACATGCTAAAAAAAAAAAAGAACTTTCACTCCAATGGCCGATAAACAGAGTGGTGCCTTGACTTTCACCTTGATCCCCGCAAATGCTACGCAACAAGCGACGACAACATTCTCCAGCAGCAAAAAAAAAAATATATACTACTCGCACGTCCCGACTCGAGCTGGTTCTCCCCCGCCAGCTTGTCGTCACGACGATATGCAAATCACCTTATCATCAGCCAGCCAGATAGAGACGCCTTTCCAGCGATACTCAACGTAATCGGGTCAAGAGATAAACGACTCATCGAACCAAGGGGGCCAAAGGAACCACCCCATCCCCCTCCCCCATTTCAACGGAACCGATGAAAACCCATGAAGTCCCAAACCCTCATACGAACCCGAAGCACTTCAAAAAAAAAAAAAAAGCGTCCTTGAGGCGAACTGAAACGCTCACGGCCGCGCATCCACCACGACGCAGCAGCGCCGAATGAGCGACCTGGCGAAAAGAGATGAGCGATCCCCACCGTCCTTCCCCGATCCCGTCCTTCACCGCCCCATCGATTCCACCGTGTCAAGAGATGAACGCAGATTCTCCTTGGGTTATACCTTGAATTCTTGCCCTTTTTTCATTTTTCGAGGTTGGAAACGTTCGGCCCAGTCATGAAAATCAGCGAATTTCGCTTCGAGCACATTCCGGACGCAAAAAGAATGCCAGGGACTCAGTGGCAACAGAGCGACATGAAATCTGGTCGACATGAATTTCTCAGGCTAACCTTGAAACGCTGTTGGGCTTCAACTCTTCGAAAATCCTCATAACTTCAAGTAGTTCCCACCATTTAGGAAGTGAAAGTGAGTGGACCACTTTTTCCTTATTTTTAGCCATCTGGCTGGCAACAATAATGTCCTCGGTGCCCTCAAGTGCTCCCACGCCCATCCAAAACCGAGGAAATTGACAAAATGTTCCCAAATCAAAAGAGCACAGCAAACACAACAGGCTGCAGCACACACGAGCAACCGGATAACTGGATGAACCGGATCGGAGTCCCCGATGGACGGCTCGTAAGCGCCGAACACTGGCAATTTGGAAAAATGATGAACTCGACCCATTGTGAAATCAGGAGGGGACTCAAAGTGTAATGCATAATTCAATTGCTTCAGATTTTGGCAAGGGTGGAGAAATCAGTAATGGGGGGGAGGAGTTAATATATATAATTACATAAAGGGCAAGGTTTTCATCACATGGTTAATTACTTTCATTTTCTATCTTCAGAATCAATTAGAGGAACTAGGTACAAAGTACTTTACTATCGAGCTCATGCAGATTGGGTCGGAACGTGCAATGATAACTCCACCGCGATGAACCGGATTCAAGGTTCACATGAAGAGTGAATAAAGAGCCAACATGCTCAAGGCCGACCTGGACTGGCATGCAGGATCAACTGTGGGCCTGTGTCTTGGTCAACTGGGACAAAAGGGTGAATCAAGCACAGCAAATAGTTGCTATTTTGAATTCTAAAGTGCCATAACTCTTTAGGTCTTTGTTCATGCCTTTGAGACAAAGAACAACGAACAAAGACCAGACAGGCCAAGGCATACATGAAATTGCTGAGGCTGACCCATGCTTCGGCCACCAGAGCCCAGCCCCAGTCCGAAAATCAATGTTGACAAACATCGAGTCCCAGGCCCAAAAAAAACAGTCTTAAGCCTGCGTAGGCCAACGAGCAGCTCAAATGACTCGCAAGGAAGCATGTAGACCAAGGCCAAGGCCCAACGCCCTAGGCCTAGCGGGCTCACATCTCGGTCGGCGATAAAATGTAAAAAATAGGCCAAACAATTGCGATGCGAAGAAACGTAATGGCGACCGACCTCACGTTAGCCTAACGTAGGCCTAAAGTCACGAACGCGAGCAGCTCACCTGTTTGTGTCTCCCTTTGAAGACCACCGCGAAGGCTCCATGCCCGATGAGATCCTTTGTACTGTACTCGTATTCCCCGACCGTTTCCATATTTTGGCAAGCGTGCTTCGCAGAGGCGAACGGGGCCTCCGTGGGACTGCGACGGGCCTAACGTTTAGGCTATCATTGGAAAGACACTCGAGTCCTTCCAGTCGTATCGTTCAGCATCTCCGCAGTGGGTCGCGTAGAAACGCAGAAGCCAACGTTACTGCCTCGCCTCACAAAGGCGAAGCAGCCCCACGCCCGACTGCGTCACGCGTATAAGCGAATCCCAGCTGACGAAACTGGGCGGGGGGGGAGAGGGAGGGTGGATGCAGGAGCGTGCGCAACGACTACCTTCCCCCACAAGCGCCACCGCTCGACTGAAAATCCCTCAGCTGCTCCACGCTCCTCCTCCTTTTTCCCTCCGCGCTGGCCTTCCCAGCGAAACATAGTTCCCCTTTCCACCGTTCGCTTCCCCACCGCAATCGTTCGTAACCCCAAAGAAAAATTTAACGAGGAGAAAAGTTGCTCTCCCTCGATCGGGGGGGATATGACCGCGACCGAATCCTTTGTGTCGGCCCTCACGCCTTTTTCTTTGTCTTCTGCCCCGAAAGGCGTGACGTCATCTATGAGGGTCATCGGCTCGCCTCGCAATTAAGCTCGATCAGTACTTTCCGATCGGTACTTCACGGTACCTTAAAAAAATAATCCGGATCTAGAAGACTCCTCCGGTTTCGTGACCCGATTTTCTCCTCCCGTTACTTCCAGCTGATCTTTGAGCTCGAAATGCGAAAATTGCCCTCACACAATTGCTCTCACGTAATTGCTCGCATAACGGGCTCGCAATCTCATCAGCCGATGAGAGGCCGGACGAGAGAAAGCGATCGCTCATTGTCTCGCCCATCAGCGCGTTCCGCATTGTTCGAATCGCTTTTTCCCGTTTCAATCCGGTATCCGCGTATATTTATTATTTTTTTGTATAATAATATATATATATATATACCGTACCATAACAAGCAGACAAAAAGAGGGAAATGGGGGACGGGAATGGGGACGAGCGGAAGCGACTTTTCGGGAACTTTTCGGCCTTATTCGGGACCGAGGCAAGGTCGTATTTCACCTTCAATCTAACGCAATATCCTTTTTTTTTCCTTTTTTTTTTTTTTTTACCTCGTTCAATGGTTTTCTCCTTTTTTTCCCGCTCATTTCATTCCGACCAGAAAGGAAAATTGTGAGGTTGAGCGAGAAACCGGGAAGCGATCTTTCAAAGAAAAAAAAATAAAGGAGACGATCGTCTCTTCCGCGTTGAAAAATGGATTTTAGTCCCGCTCGAGCCGAATCCACCTCGCCTTTCCACGCAACGGAGAATCGAATAAGCGGAGGAGGCAGTCGAGAGAAGAGGTGGATGACGGCCGGGGGATGGATGGAAAGACTCCAAGCACCCGACTGAGAAGCGTGGAGGACGGGTGGAGGTGGTGGGTAGGTGGAGGTGGAGGGTAGGTGGAGGTGGTGGGTAGGTGGAGGTGGAGGGCAGAAGGAGGTGGAGGATAGGTGGAGGTGGTGGGTAGGTGGAGGTGGAGGATAGGAGGAGGTAGCGGACGGAAGGAAGTGGTGGACGGGAGATGGAGGATTGATGGAGGTCAGGAGGAGGTCGACGTGTGGCCGGCTGGATGCCCCCGCTGGACGACGGAATTCATTTCGTTCTTTTTCGCTTCTGGGATTCTCTTGGCTCGTGAATTCCGATTTCGTAAATGGAAAATGACGAAGACGAGATTTTCCGATGGAATTCTCGGGGAATCGTGGGGAGCGGATCGCAAGATTTTAAAAGAGAATTACTTGAAGGCGGAGTCGGAACTGAAAGTTTCTCCGCTTCTGTCGGATGATCTTTCCGACTCCGATGATCTGCACTCCGGATGATCCGGATAATCCAGATGATCCGGATGATCAGCCCAACGGCAGTTCTCGGAGTCGCCCGCCAAAAAAACCGGTTGCACCTTCGTCGAGACGCCTCTCGCGCCATCATCCACCCGCGAGGAGCCAGGAGTCACCCGCGAGGAGCCAGGAGTCACTCGCGAGGAGCCAAGAGTCACTCGCGAGGAGCCAGGAGTCACGATCGATGCTTACAAGCCTGCATACGAAGCGGAACGGAGAGAGATGGCGTCACGGCGATCCAGCAGACCCTCAACAGGCGATACGGTGGCGTTGGAAGCAATCTTCACGGAACATCGTTTTCCTCTTCGATGCAACTTGGGATAAACGTAACGGGAGAGAGATCTACACCAGTCCTCCCGCTCGTCCCAGTCCTCCAATCTATTCGACGCATCCACGTGCTGCCACGACCTCCCCGTGGGCTCGTTTTAACGCGGCTCTCACGAAATGACGTAAAAGCGTCTGATCGAAGTGGCCCTTGGTCCCGCGGACACGGTTTGCGAGCAGCGATCCACGTGAGGGATGACCGACCCATGGACAAAGGCACGGATTTGGGCCCGCGGGACGAACTTTCGGGTCCGCGGGACGAACTTTCTGGTCCGCGGGACGAATTTTGGGCCCGCGGGACGAACTTTTGGGCCCGCGGGATGGATATTCAGCTCGCGGGACGGATGAAGGCCTGCACATTAGTTGCGCGAGTCCCCCCCGGAGTTCATTCCAACTGCAGATTGCAATCTGGCAACGTCAAAGCGCCTTTTTCTTTTCCACGTGCTCCTTGCTAATGACTTTTAAATGACTCTTCTCCATCCGGTCCTCCTCGTCTGTCTTCCGATTCCGCTCCCAGACCTCCGAGGTCGTCCACCCTCGACCCTTGCGGCCGTGGCAACCCTGGCGGTCCGATGACGTCACGTCGTCTGCCGAGCCCGCGAGGGGAAAATGCATTTTGTCAGCGGGATCTCTTCGCAGCTGTCGAGACGAAGGCCGGAGTCGCGGTTGCGTCACCGATCCGCGAGCTCTTAAGTGCCCGATTCCCTCGGGTACTCGCGGAATCGACGCCGAGTGACGTTTTACGAGCGAAACGTGTCGAGAAGCATGCCTTGACGTGGCTTTTCATGCCTCGACATGGCTCTTGCCGTGCCTTGACATGTTTCTTGGCGTGCCTCGACATGGCTCTTGTCCCTCCGGATTTGAATCGGGTGGAGAAATCGTTCGAAGAAATGCAGGAAATCGAGAGGGAAAGGGCAAAACCTGACTGTTTTTCTCCGATGGCCCTCCCGATAAACGGACGGACCACCCCGATTGCCGATTGCCGATTGCCCTCTCGGAATGTCCACTCCGATTGCCCTCGACGGGGCCTCGTCGTACATCCTTGATGCGTCGAAAACTCTTTCCCAAGGCTTCCGCGTGTCACTCGTACCCGGAACGTGGAAGATTTTTTTTATATTTTATTTTTTACTTTCTTTTCTTTTCGGACGGGAGCAGGTGAGGATCCGGCTGTCCTTGAGGTCCTTAAGGCCCCCCAAGAGTAGAGGCCGTGTCGGGGCGAGTTGCCGAGAGAAATTGCGCGTTTCGCGCGGTCGCCACCGACTGCGGATCCTCGAGGTCGCGGTGGTACGTCGGCGTACCATATGTAAATGAGTTATTATATAACTCACGTGTTTGAAATAAAAAGATGGGTCGAAAATGTGTGAGAAATTAATTTGGACCGAGAGAGACTCCAAGATGAACCTGGAAGGAATGCCACCTTTATTCCTGCTATCTTCGCGCCTCAGTCGCCGACGAAGAACTGTGACGGTGCGACGGTGACGGTGCGACGGTGACTAGTCCCGGAAGAACGGTCGGACGCCGAAGTCCATGGCCCGGTCCACGGCGGCGTCGATCGGCCGGACGATGAACGGGATGGCGGCGAGGCCCAGGGCGGTCGGGGCCCAGCGGTGGGCCCAAGGGTGGGCCTTGGCCCGGGCCCGGAGGAGGAGACGGGCCAGGGCGCAGAGCCGGTTGATCGTGAAGCCCGGGATCAGCACCGACGCGAAGGACTGCCAGAGGAGGGTGTCGATCGCGGAGTGGGTGATGCGGGTGCGGCGGAGGGCGAGGGGGGAGGTCTTGCTGCTCTGTGCCCAGTCCAAACCCTTTTTTTTTTCATCCTCCATTGTTTTTATATTTCTTTATATATCTTATTTAAATGCGGGTTCTCACCTGGGCGACTCGGCGGGCTTTGTCGAGCGTGTCGGCAAGGACGTAGGTGCTGGCGATGACGTAGGAGAGTCTGACCCAGTTCACGTGGACCAGGGCTCGAAACGCTTCGCCGACTTCGTTCGCGTAACCTGCAGCAGACGACAAAATAAGCAGACGACAAAACTAGCAGACGACAAAACGAGCAGACGACAAAACGAGCAGACGACAAATCTAGCAGACGACAGGACTAGCAGACGGTTTCACCGATCTGCGCAGAACACGTGCGGTGCGGGCAGGGACGGCGACTAGCGGGCCGGCCCGCAGTTCCCGCGGTCCTGCCCCAAGGCCAAGGCGACCCAGCATCCCGATAGAGTCATGCTCGGGCCCTCGAGTCTCGGCCCGCCTCGCCTCTACCCTCGCATGCAGACGGACTCACCCAGCAGTCTCACGGGACTGTGCCGATACACATCCACCGGATTCGGCGGGACCTCCGTCACCCTCTCGACCCAGCCTCTCGGCTCCTCGCTCATCCTCCCAAGGACGCAGCGTCCACCCCGCGCTCACGAAAGACACTTTTGGCACCCGGACGCGAAGAAGAAGAAGCGAAGGGCGTCGTCCTTGGACGGACCGAACTCCAAATTGGCTCCGAGCCAGATTCCTCCCTCCTTAGTTACGCTTTTCCCCCGCAGATGGCAGGCGGGTTTTCTCCCCGTCGGTTCCAATTTTCCTCTGCAGATGGCAGCCGCAGTTGGACGGAACTTTCCGCTCACGCGAGCTGTGATTAGGTCGATGACGTCAATCACGAAACTCGGCACGCAGAAAAAAATTGGCAAAAGGAGGCCGCGATTTTTTTTTGCTCGCGAAAAAAGATGAACGAGATTTCTGCTCGTCCTTTGAAACGGGAGAGTCGACGGCTCGTTTCTCACGTCAGGGAGCGAAAATTCACGGCCCTCGGTAATGGCCATCGGTAATGGCCCTCGGTAATGGCCGTCGACGGCGCTCAATTAGCATTTTGATTGCTTGCGGTCGACGCAATTAATTACGCGGCGTCCGGGGATCGGATTTTGCGCGATGCCGATTCCGAGGCCGACTTGCGAAATCGGCGCGACGAATCCCCGCATCAAATGACTTTCGGAAATGTCGCAAGAGAAAGCGAAATTGCAAATGCAATTTCCAGTTAATGTCATTCGTAAATGCAATTATCGATTTGCAATTAAAACCGCCGATTGATTTCTCCGTCTCTGAAATAATTTTACTCGCGTAGCCAATTGGCCTCGTATTCAATAACACTTTGGAAATAATTGCCCCAACGGTAGAGGCAGGCAAGAGGGCAAGAGGGGCAAGGGGGGCCAAAGGGGCAAAAGGGGCAAAAGGGGCAAAAGGGGGTTTGTAAAGGCCGACATGCCACTGGGTCAATTTTCGGCACGCTAACGTCATATTTGAGCACGCGAGAATTGCATCAGAATTTCCTCAGCATAACAGATGGAGAAGTAAGCTAATTAAGCTAATGAAGTCGCTAATCGAGCAATTTTTCTCACCGGACCGAGGGGAAAGAGCCGATTCGAGACCCGCCGCCTTCGGAGGTTCTCTCCCGACTGACGACGCGACGCGAGTGACATCTGGCGGGGGGGTCGGGGAGGCTCCGCTCGTCGTCTGCCGTCTTGCGAGCAGGTCGAGGCGGAATGCTTAGCGACCTTGAGGGGCGAAGGTTACCTTTTGTTCCTCCAGTTTCGAGGAAAATCTGACAGCTTTTGTCTCATTTATTATTTGTTCTTTTTTTCGGGTTTCCTTCTAACGAAGAACGGGTTTCCTCTACTCGGGTTTCCTTTTCTCCTCGCATCGGTCCTGTTGTCGGTCTTTGCCTCGTCCCGGATACAATCGGCTTGGGTGCCTCCTCTGGGTTTGGACGGACTCGTAGACGAAGTCGAATATGCCCCAGACCTACCGCGTGTTCCGAGAGATCCTCGTCTGTGATACCCCGGAATGCGGAGAAGGACGTGCGTGCCAGTCATCGGTCTGAGTCGCCCGTGCCCCTCGCCAGGAATGTCAGTGTCGACGTGGAATGTGAACGTGGAACGTGTCGCCAACATCTGGAAGAGAGACCGCTGCCCGACGGTGGAAAACTGGACGCTGCCTTTTACACCGTTTCCAGATTGAATTCCAACCCCCCTCCCAGAGGCGCACTAGCATCGATTGCAAGGTAGTGACATCTTACACATGGGTAGTTACGTCTATCACATGATGAAGTGGAACCTCTGTAGATGTGTGGTTCCTCCATTCTCCACTGTAGGTGGGTGGGGTACGAATTTAATCCAGAAACAGTGTACCATCTCAGGCGCGATTCCTGAAACTCGAAGGGAAATGCTGGAATGCTCGCCCAGTTCCAGAACACCCAGGTACAGCCGTTCCGTACAAGCTTTAAAGATTCAGGCGCTCGCTCGAGGGGTTCCAGCAACCCTCTCATGCGAAAGAAAAAGTCGAGAAATGACTCCTCGCACGCCACACGTGCCGATTCCCATCCACCAGATTAAGCGGATTAAGTGGATTAAGACTACTCCTCCGATTCCCGTCACATCGCATCGACAAAAGCACTGCGTGACGAATCCGATCGTCTCGCGTCCGCGAAGCGGAATGACTTCCATTCCTCGAAACGTTCTTGGAATTCGTAAAAGAAATTGCGGATCGATGAGGCCTGGATTCCCTCACGAGAGACATCTAGCGGTCCGATCCGAAACGCACGGAAATTAAATTTCCTTCGCGCGTTTTCCTCTCGGCGAAAAACCGGAAAGGAATCTATTCGATCCGGACCGAATAATCCGATGATTGCTGGCTTCTCGGGTTCTCGATCGCATTAGGGCGAGAGAGATGTCGTGTGGCGGACGAGCCACTCCCGCTGTCTCGTGTGGCGGACGAGCCACACCCACTCTCTCCTGTGGTCGGGGAAAGAAGGGGTTGAGGCTGGCTTTTTTTTTGCTTTTTTCTTTAGTTCGGTGGCTTCGTCGGTTGGGAACGTCGCGGGTTCCGTCCTGATGATCCTGCAGGATCATGAGGGGTAATTGAGAGCAGCTGAGTAGAATTCCTGACGCCACTAATGGGTAGCTTTGCCGACATTTACTGCTAGCTTTCCATTAGCATGACTGGGTGGAACGAGGGGGTTCTTCGTCAGGGTTCTCATGTCTCATGTAAACACATTTCCGCACCCTCTGCTCTCTGAATTCGTGTGCAAACGAATATAATTGCGTCATTATAATCATATTTTAATATTTATATTTTATTATATTGTTTTTATATTATATTATATTATATTTAATATTTATTTTAAATTATATTGTTATTTTTTATTTTATTTTATTTTATTTTATTTATTATTATTTATTTGAGGGGGGGGGGGGGGGGGGGGGGGGGGGGGTGGGTTTCTGGAACTGGGCGAGCATTCCAGCATTTCCCTTCGAGTTTCAGGAATCGCGCCTGAGATGGTACACTGACAATCTGCGCCATGGTAGTGTCTATACCCCCATAAGGGCAGACTTGGACGACCCCGATGGAAGCCCGACCCGCTTCCTTCGACCTTGTTCCTCTCCCTCAGATGCACATAGTGACGCCTTGTGTGCTGAGTCGCTCGCTGAGCGACCACGTGGGGAGGCCGGTCTACCTGAAGCTGGAGAACCTCCAGCCCTCTGGCTCCTTCAAGATCCGGGGGATCGGGCATGCGATGCGAAAGGTCTTTTTCCCTCTGCGTTGCTCTAGATTACAGAAGCCTTTTTGAGAATTTCGAAGATAATACCTTAAAAATTGGAGAGTTCGGTCTTCGTGAGATTATGAAATATATGCTCTCGTGATGTTCGGTTACCCATTCATGATGGCGTTACATGCAAGAAATCTGACATTAAGCTGTTACCGTTCCCCTTATCTAAGTTTCACCATTTTTTTTTTGCTTTTTGCTTCATTTCAATTTCAATCCCCAAATTTTTCCATCGTTAACTGTTCGATTCTCGTGACCACGCCAGGCCGCAAAGGCAGGGGTGAAGAGCTTCGTCGTCTCGTCCGGAGGGAACGCGGGGCTGGCGGCTGCCCACGCGGCCAGGGAGCTCGGCCTGCCCATCACGGTCTTCCTCCCCACTTCCACGCACGGTCTGGTCGCCAAGAAGCTGGAAGCCGAGGGGGCGCACGTTCAGGTCTGCACCATAAACGTGTCAATCCTTGTTCCTTATTCACTTTTTTTTTTTAAATAATTTTAATTATCTTAAAAAGAAAAAAGATATTTTACGGTTTTCTTCAGCATTTCTTCTTGACCTTTTATTATTATAGGTATGCACTCATCTCTTTCTGTAGTGCTTCAGATTTACGAATTAAGTAAAAAGGCCTCCCTTCACTTTTCTTGTTTCTTAAGCAAGCTCAAATCCCCCTCTCCCGAGGGGACTAAATCTATCAGAAGGTATCGTCAAGCTAAAGCATTTTTCCAAGCACTGGAAAAGTTACAGATGAAAAAAAAAAGAGATTTTTTCAGGAAATTCCTCAGTTGGTCCCAGGAAGACATCATTTTGCACCATTTCCTTCTCTCTAGATCCATGGGAGGATCTGGAACGAGGCAGCTGAGAAAGCCCAGTCAACAGCAGAGGAAACAGGAGCATTCTTGGTACATCCATTTGACCATCCTGATGTCTGGTGAGTCCATCACATCATGTACATATGCTAAAGTACACATCATGGTCTGAATATTGGCAAAATCCTGTAATTTTGTACCGATAACAAGGAAAGGTCACAGCAGCGTCATTGATGAACTGAAAGATCAATTGGGAGAGGAGCCAGGGCTGATAGTGACATGTGTTGGCGGCGGGGGACTCTTACTGGGGATCATCGAAGGACTGGAACGGGTGGGTTGGAGTCGAGTCCCCATTTTGTGCATGGAAACTGAGGGAGCAGACTGCTTCAATGCATCAGTCAAGGCAGGGCATCTGGTCTCCATCCCTGACATTACCAGGTTCACCTTTTTACTCTGTCTGTGCTTCTTAAAAGGTAGCCATGAAGAATCAGCTTGAAAAATTATTGGCCCAACAGCATTGCCAAGTGCCTTGGTGCTCGTAAACCGGCCGGTGCCTTAGAGAAACATCTAGGCAAGAAGGAGATCATCTCGCGAGTCGTTTCAGACAAGCAGGCACTGACGGCCATCTTGCGCTTTGCTGGTTGGAGACATTTTTATTCCATAGAAGTAGAAAAGTGAGAATCTGAGAAGTATATTGCCACATTCACTGTCCACTGGCACAGATGAACACAGAATGCTCGTGGAACCGGCATGTGGCGCCGCACTGGCTGGTTTGTACGAGGAGGCGAGCAAGGTCGCCCTGTCCGACGGGAAGCCAATCGTGGTCGTACTCTGTGGGGGGTCGGCCGTCTCTCTGCAGCTCCTTCAGGAATGGAGATCTATTGTCTCTCAATGAAACTTACAACACGGATGGAATATCACGAACAGTCCATGCTCCCATCATCTTCCGTTTCTATGTCTCCCACGCTGTAAGGTGAAAATATACAATTCACAAGATTCATGCATGAGTCTTCATTTTGAACCTCAAGGTGTTCAGGAATTTTCAGACAAAAAAGAGACTGACCAGATAGTTTCCTGATCGTTTTTGAGTTCCTCCTCCTCTTCATCTCCAACTTCAACTTCGACTTCAATTTTTTTCTGGACAGCACAAGTAACGTCGGGAGAGTCGTGAAGGACCCGCCTCTCTCGAATGAGGTCAACCACACTGGTTTGTGAAGGAGGCTTCCAGAGGACAACAGCTAAGCTCTCGTTTGGCTTGGTCCTGCAGAATGTAAAAGAATGAACACAACACAAGTTGACAATCTTGCATAACATAACCACATTGAGCATTTTCACATGTATCCTACAGTCACGCTCAAGGGACATAAATGTATAGGGTGAGTCAAGCAGATGATGTTGCTGCTCCTTTACAACTGTCAACATCGTTCCTGGGAAATTACTATTTCTTCAGACTACAATTAGTATGCTGAGGATGCACCAGGTAGAACATATTTCATAGTATTCCATACACCAAGACCACTTGCTTAGCTGTACCACCTTGATCAACCTTACATAAATCAACTTTGCATTGTTCCCTATTCTAGCATGAGGCATAAGAGAAGCAGGGTTCACACTAGCTTTTTAAAATCTTGAATCCCGGCACCTATCTTCAGCTCAGTGGGAACATGTTAAGGTGGTAGTTAATGAGTCCCACAGACTTAAATGTTTTGCAAATATGAGTCAAGGATTCCCCATAGCGAGTTGACGTGAACTCTGGAGAAGGATTGGGCTTCATGTATAGTATGATTTTAAAGTCACTGAACCCATACATTTGCATATATCTCCGGTTACACTTTAAGGAACATGTAATTGGGCCCACATGTTGATCTTATGTATCACTACACAATGCATCACAAGAGATATTGGAAATGCCGGCCATTCTGGGCTAAACACTTAAGGAGCAGGTATTTGTGAACAATCCACACTCAACTGAAGAGCTAAAGGACACAAACACTGAGTTAATTGCTGACACTCCCCAGGACATGCTTCATTGTGTCGCCGAAAACACGTGTTGTCAGGTTTAAGCATGTTTAGCACAGAATGGCAGGTACTTCCAGCATCTCCTGTAACACAATGTAACCTTATACATCAGGTCTAGACATGGGCCCAATTATATGTTGTTCCCGCAAGTGTAACTGGCAATATGTGCAAATGCATGGGTTTGGAAATTTTTAAATCATCCTGTATATTCATTGTCAAGAAAATATTTTTGTCCTCTTCCCTTTGGAAGTGAAAAAGTAATTTGTAGCTATAAAACATCTGATCAAAATATAAAAAAAAAACAGCATTGTGTAGACCGCATGAATTTTTCCCTGCCTCTTACAGACTGAGGCAGAGTTCACACTCATGCTGAACAGCATGCTGCACTGCACTTGATACCACATGTCAGGCAAAAATTTGTATTTCATGGCATATTGAACAGAAACTATTCCTATTTTTTTTTTTAGTATGCAGTAGAACCTGCATTACAGCAGATATAGAGCAGCATCTGCATCAGGCATAGAAACTCTGAATTTCATCCCAAGATGAGATAGCTTGCTTCCTCAACCAAGAGACCAGATGATGGTGGGGTAGGAAGATCTTTCAAGAAGCTTCTACCAATTTTTGATGGGTGGAAAATAAGCATTTAACCCTTTCCATTGCATTGTCTTCATTTGGAGACACTATTTGAAATTCCTTCAGAGCTTGTAGGAGCATGTGGAGCAAGAAATTAAGGGAAAGCGTAAGAATTGAAAGAATGAACTGTCATTGACAAAAATGACAGTTCAAACTTTCTTATCAATTCATTTAGCCATTTATTTATTTTCCCATTCACTCTCCTCCAAAATTTACCAACTGTTTAAATGTTTTGTTCATTCTTACACTGCTTGCATTGTATGTGTTTCTAACAAAAAAAAGAGCTGCTGTCTCCCTCTCATCTGGTCAGGTATATAGCAAAGTGCCACAGTTATGAGCAAATTTTTGCTTGAGATCAGTGCACATCTGACTACTCACTGATTAATTAGCCACAGAAAGGGTTAAATGAATCCTTGTGCCACGTAAAACCAAGAGACAGGTACATAATAAGACACAAAGGGAGTGAGACGGTAGGAGGAACCTACATGGCGTCCAGAAGAGGCCGAGGCAGGACGGGTTCCTCCTTCATCCGCTCCAGGAGTTCCTTGAGTCCGGCAACTGCGAACACCCTCTTCTCCCTCTCGTCGAGGCTGAGATCGCCGAGCTCTTTGCGGACCCGGTCCTCCGTGATCACCTGCTTCGTGCATCTCTCGCTGGAGATCCAGAGAGGGACTTGAAACCGTGATAAAATGAAGGAGAGTTTGGAAAAGGTCTCCTTGAACTCACAGTCCGAGGCCGTCGGGCGAATGCGGGCGTTTCCGGCCCCTGCAGCATCCGACGGGCCTCCGCTCGACGTCGGGCACTGGTTCGGTGGGAGGAGATCTACACAGGGACAACTGGTGTTCTTCTCACTTCCTTGACAAGGAGAACAAGATGCCCAGAATTGAAGGCCTACCAGAGATCGCGACAACTTACGGGCATCGAAGCGGACCCGCTTCCCACGACGGCGCCGGCGGCAGCCACGTACTTGGGAAGGCCCTCGGCAGCTCTCCTTCGAACACCATCTCGGGACGGCCGACAGTGTGATTATGCATCTGCGTTTCTCCTGACTCGCGACTGCAAGCGTGAGAGACCCGGAAACCCTGAGATGCAACCGAGAACACCCAGACCTAGGCCTAGCCTAACAAAAATGTTCAGGCCTCGCTTAGTTATCCCCCTTTTGGGATTGGTTGGCATATGTGCATCAATTTCCGCAAACCCCTTCACGTACCTCCCAAATGGGACAACAAAGCTCTGCTAGACGCTCTAACGCCCACAGGTCACGATGCTACTGCACAGGTCGTTCGATGAAAGACGGATGGACCCACCAGCTGACAATGCCGATGGTCACGTAAACACACATTTCACGAAGAAACTTCAGCGAAATATCTGGAAAGTCCAGAAATTTCCATGTGGTAAGAAAACCACTGCGGAGCAGTGCTGCCAAATCATACTTTCGAAGTTTCATGAAATTTCGACGATAATCCAATCGTATTCCTTTCGATTCAGTTCAAATGTCATCGAATGAACTCAGAAGGAAAATTTAGCGGTAAACACGGAAGGAATCAGTCAGAAAATTCTCGTCATTGCACCCGCAAACGCGATAAGGCCCCCCCCCCCCTCCCCCCCCCAAAAAAGGACGAGGCCTTCACAAAGCCGGGAAACAGATAAGAAATTAGCGACTATCACCTCCACTTGCCATCCACTTGCCCTCCACCGGGAGAGATAAGCGGAAAAAGATAATGTTTTTGAGGCGTGTAACTCGCCGCGACGCTCCACGGATGCGGCATCACTGCGTGTTTTCCCCCCTTGCTGATGGCCGCCCTCAGTGAACCGTGCGTGCGATGTTCGCGGCCGTGGCCTTGACAGGGCCTGGCGGGCGGGTTCGTCCCGTAGACACGTTTCGGCGGTTTCTTCTGTGATCTCCGCGGTTTAAAACTTTTTTACATTTTTATTGCGTGGGTGGTGACGACCGGCACGTCATGGATAACCTCGGGGGATTCGGAAGATCTTTGAATCGGAAGAGTAATTCTCTGGAGCAGGAGAAAGAAGAATTCGAGAAGCAACAGGTGAGACATTTTTTTTTGTTTCATTTTTTTTTTTTTTAGTTGAAGATTGAAAAATGTAATCAGAATTTTTTGGCAAAGAGTTGCGAAGCGTTGGAGGTGCCTGAACCGTGTGGTCGCCTGAGAAACCAATTAAAATATTGGGTGCCAGATTTATCTTATCTTCGGCTTATCTGTTGAATCCAGGCGGGTAACTACCGCTAGGCCATCAACAATCGCACCAGGAAGTTACATATAAATGGTTGTTTTAGTGTCTAACATGACACTTTCTGGATGACGGAATATATGAAATTTCTTTGGAGTTTTTTTAATAGAATATTTGAGGGAAAGAAAATTATTTTGATATGTTGCTGCATGAATGGCTTTTTAATTTTAATTTTATATTTTTCTTACAATTGCTAAAGTATCCACTACCTTTGTTGCCAGATTTGGTTTTGAAGTTGGATTCACTGAAAGTGAAGGTAACAAATGTTTTGGCGTTTTCAGTAACACTTCTCCGAAGTGAAGATTGCTGTGTTTTCAAGTTCTCAGCTTTGAGAACGGCAACATTGGGCCAAAATCAGACATTCCAGTTTTTTTTTTATCCTTAATTTTAACTGAAGACACAACAGGCACAACATTTATATGCATCTGCATGACGCTTTTATCCCATGAAGAGTAGTTTCTCGTTTCCTTCTCATGAAGAATGGTGAGAGGCATGATTGTGCTGGATGCTGAAAGATTTTAGGTTTCAGGGATTTCCCTGGGAATGAAATTACTTTTGTCCAAATTATGTATGTTCATTTTGGCTTGAAGAACTCATTCTTTCAATTCCCTTACCTGCTTTTAAAGATTTTCTTGGGAACCTAGCGATGTTTTGTGATGATTTCCCTTCTAGATTTATTCACTTGAATGAAAAAAAACACTAAAGAATAAACGCTCAGGTTATGTGTTATGTCACATTATACTGATTGCCATGCCTTTTTATTTTGCTGTGCTATGGGTACTTGGGACAGCATTGAGTTTGCACCAGCCAAGGGCCTCGGTCTTTAGCACGATGCCAACTGGCTTAAGAACCCGTTTTGCAGGCTCAAGAGACGAGGAATGGTCCTCCGGAATGCTTGAGCGACACGCCGTGACTGCCATGCACCACTGCTGTAACTAGCTCTGGCTGCTAACTGTTTTCATGGTGCAAGTGCACACCAGCTGTATAACTGGTTTGTAGCATGAATTCCAGAACAATCAGTTGTAAATACAGGATATCTCTATCAAATGTTACGGCCATTTTTAAAATTATTTTCCCTAACCACACTGGTCAAGTATGTGAAATTCCTTTGGTATTTCTCCAAGAGTCCTCCAATGTTGAGGAATGATGTGGAATATAGTAGTTTTGACAGTTATTGGAAAAATTGAAGCAAATGAAGCATTGGAGTTTCAGTACTTTAATTTGGACTTTTTTTTTTTTTTACTGCTTTTATAACTGAGTAAATTGAGATTCAGTGGTCCTCTGGGCCAAGTTGGCTCTACCCCACCTAATTATATATTAGGGACCAATATATGTCAGCTGTCAGCCTTCATAGTGCCTCTGCTGGTGAGGGAAAAACTATTTCCTATCAAACTTCTGTGGACCTGCACTGTTAGATTTAGTCCATTAGATGTTGAATTATGCCCAATTTATTTCATGCCTCTTTCTAGGAATTAACATATGTAAAAATGAATTATTGACTTTTATTTTTACAGGCTCAGTCAATCCAGAAGGCAATCAACAGCCAGGAGACCCCAGTGAAGGCGAAGCATGCACGGAGTATCCTTTGTTTGTTTTCTTGCCAGCCTCAGAGTGGAAATGAGATTAGTTGTTGAGCCCAAGCACTGTAATTTTTTGGTGTTTTCGTTGCTCTGAACTTGTAAGCCAACGTGCATAGATGTGAGAGTGTCAATTCTGGGACTTTCAGGGACATCCCATTGAGAGTCAATAGATTGAAACTTGTGCAGGTTTATATTGGATTGGAAAATTTCTAATTTTGAAGTGAATGTTTCTTATTTGGTTGTGTTAGGTGCCTGCATGTGATTTGGTATGTTTTGCAAAGTTGACTCTGCTCATTGCCTTCATCATTTTATCTTACTAATGAATTAGATTATGTAAATGAGTTGTCTGCCACTTTTGAAGTATCCCTAGCTTTTTTTCCATCTCTTTCTTTTGTTTGCAACCTGTGTTACTTGTATGACATGGTCCTTTTTGTTTGGGTTAGCTTTCAATTTATTTATTATTTGGTCTTAAAATGATAAGAAGTGAAGTAAATACACATTGATGCAGGAAATTGGAAATGAAGGTGTATGTTTTGCTTCTTTTTTAAAACATGGATAGCTCATGGGATATATTATATGTTGGATTCATGTTCTGGAATTTTTCCTCCTTTTCATATTCATGAAGGATACTAGCAGGTTATAATCTGTCATTAGTCATAATTTATTTTTTAAATTTATTTTTGTACTGGAGCCCAAAAAGTTGATCATGAAGAAGGATGGTCTGTGGACCAAATCATGGCTGGTCGAAACCTGGAGAACAATGGAACAATAGAGGATGTTGTCATTGTTTATTGTTCCAAGATAGACAAGAGCAGGGAGCAAAGACCAGAGAGGTACATTTCCAGAAACAGATTTGGAAGTGAACTTGGTATCTTCCTGCTACTCTTTTTTATTGACCTATTTCTGAAGAACACATTGGTTATGACCTGATTGATTCTTTAAATGTCTGTTCCCATTCAGCATGTCCTCATGATTACTGGATTAAGTAATATAGGAATTGTTCCAAGTCAATATATGCCTAACAGAATTGATATGACTTTATAATGGAGGGAATGGGGAGAACTGTAAAGTAATTGATAGCAGCAGGATGGATCCTCATCAGGCACCCTCATTCTTTGCAGTTTGTGCACCCAGGCCTTGAAGTATCAGGTTGATTCATTTGAAATGGCGTTTTTTTTGGTTTTTTAAAAGTGATAATTTATTTAATATAATACACACTAATCAATGACATATTTTCCATCTGAATCAATAACCTCCTGCCACCTTTTTGATAGTTGCAGGATTCCTTTGGCGTAGAAATCTGCTGACTTTGAAACAAAATAGGCAGCTATTTCGTTTTTGAGATCTTCATTTTGACATTTTTTTCCTGTCAGATGGTTCTGCATCGAGCGAAACAGGTGGTAGTCTGATGGTGCAAGATCTGGAGAGTATGGTGGATGTGCCAAAACTTCCCATTGCAGCTCCCTGATTTTTTGTTTCACAATTCGAGAAGTATGCGGTCGAGCATTATCATGCAGAAGAATGACTCCCTTTCGATTGACCAATGCCGGTTGCTTTTGNAAAAAGTGGGGAAGTTTAAACTATTCCACGGCGGGATCTACTGAACGTGCGAGAAAGAGAGAAGTTCTGGAGTCACAATCATTGGATATGCGTGCATGAAAACGTTCACAACGCTGCTTCGCAGGCTGCTTCCAGGAACAGTCCAACTGAAGAAGAAAGAGCAGAAAGGCATCCACGAAATGTTCTCATTGGACTTATTTCAGCCCATGCGCGGACGGGCTTTCGCACCAGTGCATAATATATATCATATAATGTATGCGTTACTTATTAATACAAAAAAAGATGAGGGGAGAACAGAGCGATGACTTCCATCGTTTCCTCTGAGAATTGTCATCGAATCCAGTTAGTCCACTCGGGCGGTTTCTCGAAGTAGATGAAGTCCTGGCAGAGAAGAAGGAAGAGAAAACCCGTCGTTTCAATAAAGCAACAGCAACCCAAAAGGAGAGAGGAAGTGGAAGAGACGAAAGCATGATCACAATGAGGAAGGTGGCAGCGAAGATGAGTGCCTTCACGGTCACGTCCAGTTGCGGGGAGAAAGCGACGCTGAAGTTATCCGCGACGGTGAAGAGCTCCTTGAGGAGACCTGACCATTGTTTGGCGATCCTCCCGATCGTATTCCCGTCCGTGTCCTTCACCTGCGATGCCCCCCCGCCAAATGAAAAAGTACACGGACATGATCATTACCATCGCCAGCTGTATCAAGACAGAAGCAAGCACGAAAGAGACGAGGCTTTGAGGGCCAAACTCGGAAAGCCTTAGCAACGCATGGATTTCGGTGGCACACTTAATATTTATCAAATGTTCTTTCCAGTGTCCTGAATGCTTTCTGCCGATCGCCCGCATTATTTGTCAAACCACGAGGGCACTCGATAAGTTTTGCCGATCTCCTGGAGAAAATCATAGCATAAACTCCAGAAATTCGACGATTCAATAACTGTGGTCTGCAATTCTCGGCAGGTCGTACCGATAAACCCATATCGCATTCCCTACAAGGAAATCGTGACGGTTTTGACGGCTTATTCCTGCCCGCCGACCCACCCGGAGTACCGAATCCGGAACGTCTTATCGCTGGCTCGGGCCGTCCACGCAAACCAGATGCTGTCCAACACTGATTAGTTATAGCCGTACTGTAGGCTTTAGGGGCAGGGGTGAGTTCATGAAAACTCGCGAGATCGGATCGGTTGTCTCAAATCATCTTTAATGTTAGCTCAAGGCAGACCACGGACTTCGGACAATAACATGATATAGATTGCCTATCAGGCCAACCAGTGCAATCCGGCCCTCTGTAATATAGGGAATATTACCAGCTGTGAAACAATCTCAGGCACCAACAACGAACATGTAGACGCACACGACAGAGGTCGAACACACGCTAAAGCTATTGGAAGGATACAGGAAGCAGTACCCGAGCCGGAAGCAAGTCTACGCCTTTACGAAAATGCCTTATAGGATTCCTATATATTCCTTTAGGAATATATCAGGTTGATTCATTTGAAATGGCGTTTGTTTTGGTTTTTTAAAAGTGATAATTTATTCAATATAATACACACTAATCAATAACATATTTTCCATCTGAATCAATAACCTCCTGCCACCTTTTTGGTAGTTGCAGGATTCCTCTGGCATAGAAATCTGCTGACTTTGAAGCAAAATAGGCAGCTATTTCGTTTTTGAGATCTTCATTTTGAAATTTTTTCCTGTCAGATGGTTCTGCATCGAGCGAAACAAGTGGTAGTCTGATGGCACAAGATCTGGAGAGTATGGTGGATGTGCCAAAACTTCCCATTGCAGCTCCCTGATTTTTTGTTTCACAATTCGAGAAGTATGCGGTCGAGCATTATCATGCAGAAGAATGACTCCCTTTCGATTGACCAGTGCCGGTTGCTTTTGAAGTAGCGCTTGGTATAGTCGGTCCAGTTGTTGTGCGTAGAGATCGCCATCGATCGTTTGGTTCGTGGGAAGAAACTCGAAGTGGATAATCCCTTTCATATTCCACCAGACACAGAGCATGATCGTCTTTGGATGTAGTCCAGCTTTTGGAGTTGGTTCTAGCACCTGATCTTTGTCCACCCATTGTTTCTACCGCTTAATGTTTACATATAAGACCCATTTCTCATCTTCGGTCACGATTTGATCTAAGAAAGGTTGGCGATTTTGACGTGAAGAGAGAGAAATGCAAGTGTTGTAGCACTGCATCTCATTCTCAATGGATAACGTGTGCGGAATCCATTTTCCGATTTTCTGCACTTTTCCAATTGCCTCAAGTTGTATGCAGATGGTTGACTGAGAAGTGTCAAGTCTATCTGCCAACTCCCGCTGCGTTAAGTACGGCTCAGAGTTCACTACATCTTCCAAGGAGTCCTTGCTGAGGTCGCTGATTCGATTTCTGGCCGGGTGAGCTTCCAAGCTTTCATCACCAGATCTAAATTTCTTGAACCATCTTTGGCACGTTCGAACAGGAAGAACACCATCTCCAAAAGCTTTACAAATGTTTTTGGTCGCATCTACGGCGTTTCTTCCGAGTTTGAATTCATAAAGCATGCAAACATGAATATGAGACTTTTCTACCGACATCTGAAATTGCAGGGGAAAAAGAATAGATTGAAAGAAGAACAAAAACAAATAAAGTAGAATCACCGTCACAATATCAGCTTTAATTTAATATGTAACAAGTCAAAGTGATCTTATAATATCGGCTGAAATATGATAGGATTTTCATATGGTACCAGGAAACGCCATTTCAAATGAATCAACCTGATATATCTTCATATCCAGCAGACACTGTATTGACTGTATAGATAAGAAGATGCAAAATATCCTTCACTGCTTAAAATTCCTCAGACCTCATCATTGGCACCTTTCAAGAAAAAGGAGCATCACGTTTCTGGCTGCTGGCTCAGAAGCAGCCGATTATTGGGAACCCTGTTGTGGCATGGAAGTTTTGCCACGTACTCCACAAGTTGCTCAGGGATGGCCATCACAATGTCGTTCCCCAGTCCATCCGTTACTGTTCCCTGCTGGTGGAACTGGGTCGCATGTGGGGGCACCTACGAGAGGGATACGGGAACCTCATCTTGAGATATTCGAATCTTCTCATCACGAAGTTGAAGTTCCACGAGAACTATCCTGGCTTCCCCGGGAACGTCCACGTCACGGACGATCAGCTGGAAGTTATTGGAGGCAATGACATCAACAACTACTTTCAGCTGGCTGTGGAGATGTTTGACTATATGGATGACATCCTGGCCTTGCAGTTATCTGGTTCGTTTCGACTCTGATAAGTCGACCGGAAAGAAGAGTCTGTGCTTGGATGCATTGGTTCTCTTTTAGTGTTTGGGTCTCTGGACATGAGTCGGAGCAACTCTATGACAAGTGCTGGCCAGTGCCGCCTGGCACCCCTAATACCATGCATTTTGGATTCATCTCACCTCTATGATTACACTGTGAAAATTCTGTTCAAGCTCCATGCTAGTGAGTTTCCATATACTTCAGGAATATAGTTGAATTTGGACTTTGTATATATGTGACCTTCTTCCACAGGCCTTCCCTCTGATGTTCTTGTTGGCCACCGAGAGAGGTTCTATAAGGCCTTTCCTGTTCTACGAAAGTTCTATTTGGATGCAAGTATCCTCCAATATTTCAAAAACCTCATCCAAGTTCCTCTGCTACCTCCGGTATCTCCACAAATCTTGTTTTTCTTGATTGAAGTGCTTGAACAGTGCTTTGATTCTTTTCTCCATGATATCCTGAAGGTCTGATTGGTTCCACTGATGGTCAGATTTGAAATTTAATAGGTTTATATTTCATATTCTTGAATAATTTGAAAGCAGTGGCATTAAATGGAGTCATATCAACTTAAAAAGAGTTTTTCTTCAAAGAGGAATTGTTTTGATCAATTTATGGTTTCATTGTTGTTGAAGCTCTTGTTGCCCGTCACAGTTTAATTTTAATGTGAATGTTTTTTGGCAGAGCCCGCCCAATTTCATGATAGCTGCTGATCTGAAAAACTACGTAACACCCGTGGCGCGCCTCGAGGAGGATGTACCCGACGAGCCCGAGCTGGAAGTGGGGAACCTGATTGATACGTCTGCAAGCTTTGTGGAAACCCCTCCTGCACCTCCACCTGTACCTGCTCTGAATGGTGTTCTTGCTGAGAAGTCAGTCCTTGCTCTCATTCCCTGCTCTTTCATTTGTATTCTGTACATCTGAAGCTTACATTGACTTTTAGCTCCATTGGAGGCTTAAAGTAATTGATGCAAGTTGTTTCCAAGCTTTTGTTATGATGCATTTATTGGGGTTAAGTGTGTGGTTTACTTTATTACCAAGATCAAAGTAATCATAATACCGTCTTCAGGAAAAGAGATTTGGGTCTCTCCTGCTTCCATTTTCCATTGTTATTGACCAGGATGAAATCGTTAAGGTGTCACTTGCTGGAGGAAACCTTATTTTCAAAAGTCTTTTAGTTGAACCATCTCTTTGCAACTAATCAGAGATGGGGAGGAATTTCTCCCAGCCTCAAATCTTAGCTTCAGTGATGGGTCACGATTGTGCTTCTGCTCGTAGGGACCGTCTTCTTTCTTCGCTACATCGAGAGATTGAAGAGCTGAGGGAGGAGCTTCTACGTGTACGAAATGAGTATCAGAGAGTCATTGCAAACCTATCTAGAGAGAATCAGGACCTGGTAAGTGGTTATTTATTTTCACTATGTATCATCTCTGAAATTGTGGTTTAAGTTTGTCAGGTAATGTAATGTAGAGCAAGTTAGTCCCTTGAATGCAATGACTGCCCTTGTCCTTGATGTTTTTCTGGATCTGCCTCATACTTATTGTGAAGTATTGGAGCTGAAAGTTGATACCATTTTAAGGTAACAGTTATCATAAGTCCTAGGATTCCTATGGAGAAAAGGAGCTTTTACCTCTAAGGCCCTTTCTTCTTGCCTAAATGAGGGCTTCAGCATTCAGGACTAAAACTGTGGGAGCTTGTGTCATTACAGAAAGTGAAGCTTGGGGGAGAGGAGGGAATGAGGAGAGATTTAGCCCGAGAAGTAAAAGAGTACCAGGAGAGGCTGGCAGCCCTGCAGCAAGAGAAGGAGCGGGAAGCTCTTTCTGAGTGTGAGTTATTTGCCACTTCCACAAGGTTTTTTCTTCATATATTCAGTGCCTTCTTATCTTCATTGATCTCCTTTCTGTAAAGGAAATGGGCCATTTTTTTGTGCTGTATTTTCTGCCAGTCTTTGTATTGTTCCATTCCCACATTTTTCATCCATGATAATTCAGAGATAAAGACACCTACGTGGCTGAAATTTTACTCATGGTCACATACAGGAAAAATACAGACGACATTTTTTTTTTAGTAAAATAAAGAATGAATGCGGACTTTTCATCATGAATTTTCAAGCTGCACGTTTGTCAAGTTCCACTGGATGTTTTTCTCTGTATGTAAACCTGCAGCATCTCATTAAGAAATAAATTTAGGGATAGTGATCTTGATTGTTTTTTGTTAAAGGATGCCAGAAAATGAACCCCCTTAATAAATTGAGGCTAATGGGCTGGGCTTGCCCTGCTTGTTTGTTACGATCCTACCTCTGCCCCTCCCAGCGAGTCGAGTGAAGGTGGCCGAGGAGAGGTATGTCAAGATGAAGGATGTTTACGGAAAGCTGCGAGAGGAGCATATTGCGTTGTTGAGGGGAAAGGCAGATCTGGAGCGCAAGATTGTCGAGAAGGAGGAGATCTCTAATCAGACTAATTCTCTTCAGGCATTGGTGGAGGTAGCTTGTCTTACATCTTAGAAGGGAATATTTGGTTCAGTTTTATGCTGGTGAGCACTGTTTCAAGAATGAAAATCCCTTATTCTGGATGCAGTGCCTTGAACGTGAAAAGGGTATTTTAGAGCGCCAGAAGAGGGAAGATGATGAAACTTTCCACAAAACTAGGGCAAAGGAACTACTTCAACTGTTTGGTAAGGTTCCCTAAGTTATGGAATGCCACTATATTCAGGCTTGAATTCTTGAGTGAGGTCCCATACAGGTCTGTGCGAGACCATGGTGAATGGTGCTTTGAAAGACAAGGAGATGACTCTGGTTCCCTCATGGCATCCAGAATCCCTACCACATCTTGTGGAACCTGCTCGACTGAGTCTGGAGTCGAGCCTTCAGTCATTAGTAGTGTTCAAGGATGAGAAGAAGAGCTACCCATTTGTCAAGGACATCCTGCTCACCTGTCACTTACTGGCATATGTCATCGTGACGTCGTTTTCGGCTGCACATCAGTCCCCAAACATAGAAAAAGGGGATCGTATGTCATCTGTCGTGGTTCTGGTCCTTCTATAAAGGAGAGTGAGGATTTGATGAATTTGTTTTGTGTCTTTTCTTTCAGATTTGAGTCAATTGAGCCAAGGAATAGGCGATGAGATGCTCCACCTCATAACGAGCCTGAAGAACTCGGCCAACAAAGAGGAGCTGAGACAACGTATGGAACAGGTGAGGAGGATGCTCCTGATGATCGGTCAGGTTGCAGAAGAGCTCCTGATGGAGGTTCGAACGAGTCAGTCTGATGTGGTGGGAGATCAGCTGCAAGACGAGCTGGCTTCCATGGATCGGCTCATCGAGGAAGCTGCACTGAGGATACAGGTTTGCCAGTTTGCCCTCATCATTGCATTTATGAGAGGTATTTCTGAGAGTGAAGTCTTCTCCATGATTTTAAAAATTTACAGGAGATGCTGAGGGAGAGAGAGGGCAGGGACTCAGGGATAAAACTGGAGGTGAACAGCAAGATCCTGGAAAGCTGCACCGGACTCATGCAGGCCATCCGGCTTTTAGTCAAGAAGGCGAGAGTCCTCCAAGAAGAGATTGTGGCACAGGGAAAGGTATAAGCATAGTTCTTTGAAATGCCATTTCTCAAAATGAGGTATCTCACAACTTCACTTTTATTTTTTGTCTTTCTCAGGGTGGAGCCTCAGCCAAAGAATTCTACAAGCGCAATCACAGATGGACCGAAGGTCTCCTCTCGGCTGCAAAGGCCGTTGGGTTGGGTGCAAAATTTCTTCTGTGAGTGGATAACTTCTGCAAACGTTTTTCTAGCCAATTTCATAGACTTGTTTTTCTCATCATCTACTTCTTGGAGTTTTAAAGGTTAGAAAAGGGTGGGCTGAACAAATGTGTTCAAAATGGGCTTTGTTCTCTTCAGGGATGCAGCAGATCGAGTAGTTGAAGGGAATGGGAAGTTTGAAGAGGTGATGGCAGCATCTCAAGAGATAGCTGCATCCACTGCGCAGCTTGTGGTTGCTTCCCGTGTCAAGGCACAGCGTGGTTCTTCTAATCTTCAGCAACTGTCCTCGGCTTCAAAAGACGTGTCTCGGGCCACTGGGCACGTTGTGGCCACGGCCAAGGGCTGTCTGCAGATGATTGAAGAGTCGGGTGAGATGCATTCCGAGTCCGGTGTTCGAGTTTGTGTGGTGATGATGCATTTCACATCTTTTTTGATGGCACAACAGAGGAGTTTGACATGGGTAAGCTGTCGCTGCATCAGACAAAAAGGCTGGAGATGGAGTGTCAGGTCAAGGTCCTGGAGTTGGAGACATCCCTTTCCAGGGAACGGGTACGTTTGGCATCCTTGCGGAAGCACCATTATGCCCTGGCTGGAGAAGTGGAAGGTTGGTCTGATGAAGAGGTGAGTGGCTCCACCTTTCACAAAATATATAATACAGACCTACAGTCATCAATATATGGATTATCTAAGGCATGTGGCTCAATGACTATTCTTTGCATATGCTCTTGGTTTTGGTATCAGTAGTAAGGACAAAGCTAGAATGGAAGCTTTTTGATATCATGAGCTGGTCTCATTATCTGTAGAGCAGACAATCTTTTTCTTGCTTATCACTTTTTCTCTTATGCTCCTATGAAAAATTGTGGCATTCAGGTTTCATGCCAAGTGGAGAAATCTGTATTCTCAACTTCACACTGCCATGGTAGCAGCCATGATTGGGGGAAAAAGATGTAAAAATGGCTGGAAATAAAACTTACATCTGCTCTTTCAAATAGTATCATCATGAAGGATGTGCGATAATTATTGCCTTTGGTACTTCCAAGGCAATTAGTACTTGAGGTACTATATTCTAACTATGGTGGTAGGTCTTCTTTCATTGTATTGATTATTATTTTAAAAAAAGCAGAATTTGCTGATGATTCCTAGATATGAACTTGAATGAAAAAACTTTTTATCTTAATCCCAGGGCAAATGATGGATGGAAGGCTCCCTGTGTTCCCCAACCAATTCATCGGGATTGTGTGTTTCAAACCAATACTGCGATGTTCCATTAATTCCTCTTTGTCACTTGTCATGAATTCCACACATTTATTATTACCTTTTGTTTCAAGCAGCTCTTTGCTATCTTTGATTGTGTTCACTGTGGCCCTGATTACCCTTTTATGTAGTCCCCCTTTTACAATATTTTTTTTACTTATCAGAGAGATACAGGAGATATTTTAAGAATTTTATCAGATACAAGGGGATGAAAGAGTGATGTGATTTTTTCATAAGACATCTCAAATAAAAAAATTTCACATGCCATCTGTGTTCAAATTTCTCAAGCTTCTAAACATGAGAGGATGTTGATTTCCCCTTCATCCGGCTGCATGCAGCAGCCTCTGTTCTGATGCATGTATAAGGATCAGCATGGGGCTGTCCCTCTTGCCAGTGGAGGAGAACATCTGATGTTCTTTCTGCTGTAATGTTATGGTGATGTTATTGTTATCATCATGTATGGATTGGGGATGGAGTGTTTATTCTGCAGGAATCCCTTCTCCATCTGTGTGATAGGAAGTTACACGATATGATGGAAGGCAGCAGTGGTTTCTTACCCTGTTACTTATGATTGGTGATCTCAGCAAGTGATGTGGAGAGAGACATGGAGGTGGAAGAGGAAGTGGAACCATGCACCTATAGAACCCTTGACCCCATTGGGAACTTGCTGATCAGGTGAGTGTGCACTCAACATTGATACTGTCTCTGGTGAGGGTTGGACTGGAAAAAAATTTAATCATGCTAGAACTGAATCAGATTCAGTTGCGTTGATCGATGTGCCTTTACTTTATTTGCAATGAATGTGATGGCATGCATGGAACTATTCTTCTTCAGTCCAGTTTTCTATAATGTATGGAAAACTGGTATACCTATTTAGGAAAGATGGATTAGTCAGAGAGAGTATTGCTATAAGTAAGTGCCTTGAATGTGAGAAAATGAAAAGGAATCAAACCTCCATGAAATTGAAAACTTACTTTTTGTATTAAACATTTTCTAGATATCTTCATGAAGAATATGTCTAGATGTCGATGAGGAAATAACCTCTTATTCAGAACTTTTTTGTCTATGAAGACTTCTGTTCATCTGTTTCAGGGTGAGACTATGGAAGGTCGGTCTCTCTGGGTTTCCACTGGAGGGACGAGGAGAAAAGGGTCTCTTGAAGGCCAAAGTGAAGGCCAAGGCTCGACTCAAGCACAGGGCATCGGGGGCCGCCATGTCGGATTCCCAACCCGAGGATGCCCGACTTTTTCGCTGGCAGGAAAAAGTCATGAGGTATGATAGGACAAATACTCATTCTGGGGATTCACATTGAGTATGTATGGCTTTAGGATTAACTTCATTCTTCTATTTAATTGCATATATATTCAGTCTAAATCCAAAGTCTGTAATGTAATGACTCAGGGTATTCAAAATAGTTCTGTCTCAATTTCAAGATATGAAGTCAGGCAGTCTGAAGTTGGATGTAAGTCTAGATGCATCTAGATACATCAGCATGAGTTGTTTTTCAGTCCCAGGGAGGTAGATGCTTATGGTCAAGGGGTAGGGGGAACTGAGGAATGGCAGAGGGAGGCCAAGAGGATCCTGCGAGAGGGGGGACCTCCCAAGAACAGGCTCTTCTCCTCCACACAGCTCGACGAAGACGACTCCAGGATGGCCGAAGATGCGGCCGAGGAGCCTGCCAACATGTATGGTATTTCGTCAAACCTTTCGCTGTGCTTTTTTCACCACTCACCTTATCACTTTTGGCTTATTTTTTTCTTCTATAGTAAAGGAAAGAAGATCCCTAGGGAAAACATAGTTGAGTGTCAGAGAATCAGTAAGGGCAGCAGGAAGAAGCAAAAGATAGAACGAATGTGCATTCTGGCCGATCTGGCATCGTTTGATCTGTGAGTTCTCTATTTTATCTCTTTTTCTTAGCCTATTTCTCACCTGTACAATATGACTGCTTCACGTGCAATCAGTTATGATTTTCCTCAAAATAAATTGTCTCATCGACTCGGATTGCTACCATTGCACTATGCTGTACTGCAGTAATTTATACAATTTTTTGCTCATGGATGTGTGCTCCTCCAGCCCACCATGTGAACATGAAGATTATGAAATCGTCCTGGTGGAGCTGCGCTATTATCCAGAGGAGCGACTGCTGTGGATGAAGCCGGATTTCTCCCGCGGCGGAGGCGTGTACGCCGTCCCGCAGGGGACCTCGCTCTTCCTTCCGTCCAAGTTCCTCTATCGAGTCGAATGCGCCTCTCCGCCGTACCCCGATGCCCTGGCCCTGAGGCAGGCTAAGGCTTTTGCTCATGTGAGTTCTTGTTCTGGACCTCAGACATGTTTGGAAAACATCTTGGATGCTGTCAAAGTCCAGTATTGAACATTGCCAATTTTCCTGGTAGGAAATTCAATCTGCATCTTTCCCATTGCATTTCCCTAGCAGTTTTCACAGTCATCTAGGGGCAGGATCATATTCGTTTTTAGTTATTGTTTGCAGACAACATTAGTTGGAACAGTGTGACAAACAGATGGGATAGCACTGTAATTGACCTTTCTCTTTCATGGTGAAAGAAGGTCTACTAAGAAAGACCTGAAACTCATATTAGCTTAGGGGAATGAGAATTTTCATATTTGTTAAAGCTGTAAAGTATCTCTTTCCTGTCCCATTCACTTTCCTTTTGTCAGTGAAGGGATTTGGATTTCAATGTTAGCGGAGGAATTGTGACATAACTAGGGATCAGTTTAATTCATTTTGACCAGAGTTCCGCTGCTCGATGATTATTCTGATGATGATAGGAGTTCCAACATGTTCATTTATAATGTGAGCAGATGGTCCTAGGCTTCTCCAATTCGGTATGAATCTTCTGAGTCGCATCTAGGAGTGATATGTGGATCGCGATCTTGAAACGATGTTCTGTCCTTGCGTCTGCCCGACGCGCTTCCCCGGAAGTCTGGATTGAGCACCCTCCATGCCATACTGCATCTTAATGATATTCGTTGGAATACAGGGACTGTGAAAGTTTTGGGTGGGATGAAACTAGCGAAGGTGGATTCGAACGGCCGTATCTGAAGGCTCCGGTTCGTACACGTTTATCGGCAACGTACGCTTTCCTTTGAAAATCATTATAGCTACTGCTGATTATTTGTATTGGCATAAGTCCGACCTATTTGACTAGGTCATAGTAAGACCCTGGGGTGGGGGAGTTAGAAAAAATTACTTTATTATTATTATTACTATTATTAATGAAGTAGAACTTCTGGTAATTATGGTATTATTATGGAAGTAGAACACTGTAACTAATGAGGCATGACATTTAAAGGCTGTTTTATGTTAAATGTTAAATCCATGAATTTGTATCCCTGGGTGTAGATTCGCTTGAAAATTTGTATGCTAAGGTGTCTCTTTGGAATTCCAATTACCCATTCAGCAGAGCTGGTTCTGGGCTGCAGCACGAGGAAAAAAATCCCTCTAATTTTTCCATGCCCTCGAAGAATCCATGTGGAATTTCCGAGATCGAATGGCATCGGCTGGGAGTGGGCATGGAACTCGCTTAATTTAGGGAAAGTTGCGCCTTAATGCCGTCTCTGGCTTAAAATGTTAATATCGATTATCAGCTCATGTTTATTAAAGGAAATATATGTGGTGGTTGAACCTTTGGATTCTAGGAAAATGGGTTCATCCCATGTAACGCGTTTGGAACGTTATGTGATAATCATAACCCATTCGTATCGTTACATTGTAACTGTAACCCGTGTGGAAGCATTACATAATAACTATATAACAATCCATGTAGAATATTACATGCTAACTATATTATAACTCATTTGGTACTCTATAATTATTGTAACTCGGTTAATATAATAATGGATGACTTTGCTGAGACGCCTATATAGCCAGACGTATCATAGATTACTCGCTCTTAAGCGTTAATGTGCGTTATTATGCACTGCATTCGTTATTTATTGAATATAATTTCGTTTCGCATCGAGCAGTTAACATGCGGATGCGAGAGCACGAAAGCGCAGTGGGGATCAGAGACGTGGGATTCCGTCGCTGAGCGAAATCGAAAGGGCACGTGCCGATCGACGAGGTCGAGTCGCTGGCTGTCAAAGTGCCGAATGCGTGTTAGACGTTCCCGAGCGGTTCTTCTTTCCGCTCATCGGGTGGGTGGGCTGGAACCCTCTTAATGTAGTTGTTCGGGTGCCTTTGCTCGGCTCATCGGATCCACGGGGATTAGGATTTCACAGGACCGGCTGGATTGACTTGTCATTACGGTAATCTCTTAATTGGAAGTATGCAGGGACGTTTCATCTTAATTGGATGGTTTGAAACGTGTACGGTTTAGCGTGGGGCATTTTAACATTTCAGAAAATGTTGGGGGGACTGGGTCCAGATGCTTTCTTTGTATAAGGTAAAAAAGGAAATATGAATTAATGTGGTTGGACGCGGAAATGAAGAAGGCGATGCGATTTGTCTCTGCCTTTGAAGCATGGATTTTTTTTTTTTTTGCCCGTGAGGGCTCGTGATCTTGCCTTGCTTTCGTCGTCGATGGCCGGGACCTGGAGATCCCATGCCCGAAACGGTCGCTCAAAGTTTTAGAATAGTTTCAGCAGGTGTCGTTTTAATTATCGGAGAGCCTTTTTCCCTCGAGGCTCTTGCGAATTTTCGTCAGTCTCCTCGACTTCCCCTCGAGTGAAAAAAAAAGAAGAGAACTGGCGATCCATTTATTATCTGCGCTGAAATAAATCTTGCGGAACTGCACGGGAAATGAGATCTGGGGAGTCCCATGAAATATGAGAAACCTCGCGAGGTTCATTATTATAACCGCCCTTCGGCGTGAAGGCAACCATATTCCGCTATGTTTTACTTTCACTTTCGAGAACAGGGGTCCGTTTCATTAATTGTGGCTCTGCCCTCGCGTTGAGGAATGATGGGAATGATGAGGGATGGACGCTGGTGGACTCGAGGCACGGGTCGATTGCGGTGGCATTGTCTTTCGATATCGTTGAACTCGAGTGAGTTTCGACACCGATCGCGATTAATACTATAATATCATACACTTATACGATTACGTGAATTTAATGGTACCATCACGCTTAAGTTTATAGTATCGGCATGGCGAGAGAAGACTGTTTAAAGTAATTCGTGAGTCGGGTGACGTCGCCCTTGGGCGTGCGGCGTGAGCGGGGACGTGCGTGTTTCAAGAAGAGACTTGGAAGCTTTTTTTTTTATTCTAGAGACATGAAATGCGATGTGTGTTGCACGATGGCAGCAGTCTTGGTTGTGGCCGCAAACTGCTTTTGCTGCCAAAAAAAAAAAGTTTCTGTGCCTCTTGGTTATGGCAGGGGTTTTTTTTTTTTCTTCCGGGTCGGTCGCGGTCGCATCGGGGCGACTCGGCCCTGTCGAGGATAAACTCCGCCGTCTGATTTGGCTCGAAGGCTTCCGAAACGAGGAGGAAATTCTCGAAAGGCCGAGACAGGTAGAGTGATTATTAAAATGTTCCTTGCTGGCTTTTCATCTGCCAAAGTGGTAAAATATTATTATTATATTTGGCACGAAGGTTGTCGGGTGTTGTTGATTGCGATTAAAGTGGCTTTGAAATTCTGATTTTGATTACGATTGACGGTTGTTTGGGAGAGTGTAATCTCTTACGATCCGATTACGACTACATTACGTAATTAGTCCGACCCTGGCGGACGTGAAAATAGCGACGAGGCTGCAAAAAAAAATTTGCAAATTTTTCGCCAGCGAAGGGGGGCGAAGTGTTCGGTTGGAGATTTATTTCCACTTCTTACTTATTTCCAACTGCAGTAATGAGCCGCGTGTGCGGGGAAAGATGCCGGCTTCTCCCCCGCCTGTTTCGCTGGGATGGAATTAAAAAGCATTCCGTCGATTGGCATCAGCTGTTGATGTCGTTGCGTTTTCTTCGTGTCGGTAAATGAGTTGTGGATGAGATGAAATGGGATCGGTTCTGCAACGCCTTTATTCCCCGATGTACGCCTGTCGATTCTCGCGGGGTCTTTCGGGTGTATGGATCAGTTTAATCGGTAATTTAATTTATTTATGGTTATTTTTTTTGTCGTCTTTCGTGGGCTCTGGCGAAATCGAGCGAGGCCGTCTGGTAGGACGAAATCGGAAAATATGGGTGGGAATCGAGGTCGCCTCGGTGGACCGCAAAAGTAATTCCATACGATGTGCGATGAATCAGTTGCATGCCGCCCATTATCCCGCGTGAGTAACGCGTGAGATGACGTAATTTCCGTGGGAAGGCTTTCCTCGTCGCGAGCGAACACCCCAATTTGAGGTCGTTAGCGCTTTCATCGCGGAAGCCGTTCGAGAAGGGAGAGGCTTCGCGGATCGCTGCATCTCGCGGTCGATCGTCGTCGGAGGGAAAGAAAAGGAGCGGGAAGGAAAAGGGTGGGATTGGGTCCCGAGGGCGAGTATTTATCGTCTGTCGTGGGCCTTTCCCCGGGTGCGGGGGCCGGCACGTGCCAGGAGCGATGGTGGAGCGTGGGGAAAGACTCCGCTTGAGGGATGTTCGCCAGCGTGACCGTGCAGGTGGTCTGCAGGCTCCCACGGGGGAATCTTTAAATCCTAATGACGGACGCCTTTGGGGGGCGGGGGGGGGGGGGGCAGGGGAGATGATCGAATGAAAAACTCGAGATGCGAGGTTGGGTCGTACGGTCGATTGAGTGATTACGTGATCCTTGTGAAATTTATGTGGAGAGGGTTCGAGGGAATGTCAGGAAATCTGAGCCTTTTTGCTGTGGGTTTCCATCCTGAAACGGAAAGAGGTCATTTATAGTTCTGTCCGTTTGTCTGCGTCTGTCTCCAACTTTCACTGTCCGGGAATGAAAAAAAAAAAAACGTTGATCTGATCACTGTGAGAATTGGTACGCAGATGGACATGGGCAAGATGCAGGATGAGTTCGTTATTGATGATATTCATTCCCAGAAAAAAATATTTTTTATTTATCGCGAGTCGTACGTTTTGGAATTTGATGATTGTGAGAAAGGCATCGGCAACCGTCGGCCCGAGCGACGACAGAATGCGCATGCGCAGACCAGAACCCCGATGTCGATCCCATATGCATGCGCAGACCTAAGCCTGGCTCGGGACGTCACGGTCACCGATGGATGACGCTCTTTAAAATTGTCGTCGTAATGAAATGTGAATCGAACCATTCGTGCAGGTGGTATTTCAGAACGTGTGTTCTATGCCGTTTCATTTGTTGGCGATATAAAATCTTTGATGATTTTTTCCCCCATGTCGTACTCGTAGATTTCATGCCATCGTGGTTATATTTCGATGCTCGGTATCGCAATGCATGCAGAGAGAGAAGGAATATCGAGGAATAAAATGTCTGTGATGACCTCTTCTTGGTTTCTATTTCGCAGTATGCACAAACGGACATGTTAGACGCAAAGAGTGTTTCTGTTTGCCTTAAGACCTGGTTCGCGGGGCTTTAGGCGTTCTATTGGAGTGCTGGACGCGTGACCGATATCGAATGGAATTGCCTGTGGTATGTCGGAGTGGAGATGGAGCGTGTTTGTATCTCGCGTGGTGTTGGGTGAGGCCATGGGATGTGCCGCCGGTCGTGTGAAGCGACGGCGGGGCTTTGCGGAAGCCCCATGTTTTATCGTGCGGGTTCCGTTTGGATGACCGTGAGTGTGTTTTCAGCTGTTTGCCGGGAGGGAGGCGGCTCTGAGACAGTTCATCGGGGAGGAATTCGAGAGTCCGTCGCCGAAGCACCTTCGGCTGCACGTGGACGGGGAGATCCTGGCGTTCGTGCCGTCGTTGGGGGGGTCCAATCTCTCCGTGCACGCGATGCTGGTCCTGCCGACCGGTGAGTCGAGAGAGGGGAGGGGGGCTTCCGGGTCGTCTGTCGGGCCGGGTGTCGTGATCCGTGTCGTCTGGCAGCTTGGAGGAGCGAGGGAGGGGGGAAGAAGGCGGTGACGACGGCGGCGTGTCGGGTGAACGGCGGGGGGGCCGCGCACTACGCGCACCCGTTCGAGTGGGATCTCTTCTGTCCGTGCGAGGCGGATGCAGGTGGGGGAATCCCGATTTCATGCCACTTCTGCATGGGGAATGCTGTCGCGTCTTGCGAGTGGATGCGATTTTTCGTCGCACCGTTAGGAAACTTGAGCACTTTTTTCGTTTCTTCACACATGCACACACGAATTACCGTGCACGAGAAGCATCGTTTCCTTGTTCTACCGATAAAGTCGAGTTCGTTCTGCGAGACGATGACCCAGAAACCGTTGCACTCCGGCACCGCACTCCTCGAGTTTCCGCACGATCGCTTTCACCCTCCTTGCAACTCTCGACCCGCCGGAGCAGCCGAAAATGTTGCCGTATCCGCACAGACGAAGGAGAGCCGGGGAGTCTTCAACCCAGCCTGTGCTTCGAGGTGACGTCCTGGGACGCCTGGGGCCGGGGGATGCCGATCGGCTACGGCGCCTTGCCCCTCCCCTCCGCCCCCGGCTTCCACCTCCTCCGCCTGCAGACGTGGAAGCCGGTCCCGATCGGGCGGAAGGCGCTGATGAGGGAATACTTCCTGGGGGCGGAGCCCAGGGTCGCGGCGCTGGAATACGCGGCGCCGCGCGCCGTCGAAGGGAAGGTGAGCCGCCCGTTCTCTGTCGCTTTCTGTCGCGGGAGCGCTTCCACGTACGGAGACTCGACACGAGTAAATAGACACCCACTGAGATTCCCGGGAGGCCTGGAATTCGGGCGATCGGCCGATGATCGCTAGCTTCAGGTGAGAGGAAGCCTCGTTCTCCAGACGACCGTGCCGAAAGCTCGAGGATCTCTCGAACCGAAGGACTTCGATAGGCAACGCATAGTTTGGACCGATGGGACACCGATAGAGACCGGCAGAAAGTCTCCGAGGTGCTGCAGATCCCTCTGTCCACCGTTAACCGGGATATCATACGGTCGAAAAGCAGCCACGAGACCCGGTGGCGTAGCTAACGAATGTGCAGGCGGTGGGACTGCACCAGGGTCCACGAGCCAGAGGGGCCCAGACGCCGAGCTATAAAGAAAGGGGGGGGGGCCGTCTTCCATTAAAAAACGGCAGATTACAATAGGAATAGTCAGTCAGAAGTCCCTTCTGAGGATTATAATGTATTCTGAAGGGAGTTCCTTCGCATCCAACGCCGTGACAGACACGCGGCCGTGTTTGCTTGCAGATGGTCCCGTGC